GGATAAATTCTGAGTTGATAGTTCTGTTGACTCTACAATGATTTCTATTGGCTCTACAAAGAGACAGTTAATAGCTGTCACTTGTTGGACTAAGGCTACAACCTCGAGGACTACATCCTCTGTACCATTAACCATTCCACAAGCTTTCTTAGAATTATATTCTCCCTGATCTAACACAACCTATATTATGAAATCTTAACAGTACAACAAAAAACACTCCACTGAGTTCTTCTTTTGTCAAGAATGCATGAAACTAGGCTTGGAAATCACTTGCAAATGGTGCGGCAATATGGCAAAACCTTTCCACCCTTTTTCCAGATTTTCATTTGTAAAGATTATCCCCTGGTTTACCATCATAGCACTCAAAAGACATTTAGGCATGTACAGAGAACAAAAGATAATTAGCATCCTCTATCCTGTTCTTCTTACTACTAATGTGTATGTAATCGAACAAAATATGTAGCTTCAAAAGAAATCTGAGAAAGAAAACAAAAAATCTACCTTCCAATCATTGTTTCTTCTTAGAAGAAAATTACAGCAATATCCAGGGACTAGATAGAAGAAGGCTATGATTCTTCCAAATGTGTTTAATTTTCTTTCTCATTCTTATATCCTGGCATTCAATCAAATTATTTATGAGTACCTTCAACCTTTATTTAGATTATCCTATGAAATAACAAAATTAGCAACTGTTACAACACATGACCCCTGACTTGGGGTCTAACACTGGAGAAATCATCCTTTATAGTGATACCCCTTTTAATTCAGAAGTATTGCCAAGTCTCCAAACTTGACAAAAAGCAAGAGCAGTATCAAAATATAGGCAAAGCAAGATCATAACAAGAAGCTGTCCTATTGTATAAAGAGCAAGAAAATATATCAAAATTTAGGTTTTAAAAGCTTTTCCAGTATAAACTCAAATTAAACTGACTAAACTTCCACTTAAGAACTGTACAGAATATATTGAGGGTCCAATATTAAGGTATTCACAAGTTATTGGTATAATACAAACCCCAAATGCTAAAAATATGTCTTCCACATGAATGAAACATATCATCGAGTTAGACCCATTCCTGAACTGTAAAAAATCTATTTCCATTAAATTACCCTGACTCCCTTAACTGTGGATACAGTGCTAATACAAAGAGCTGCTATTTGGCCAGCTTCTTTGGATAAATTTACTGAACATAAGCAACTTTACTCTCACTTCTTACCCACATATTTGAAAGTATATCATACATTGCCTAATAACTCTGTATGGAAAACATGGCTCATTTACAAATAAGATGCAGAATATAAATCAGTCTTAGCTAACTAGCAACTGATTATAATCAGCAAAATGAAGAGCTTCTCACCAGAAATCCCAGATTTCAAAAAAGCTGAAAATGCACTCGGGAAAAGACAAAACTAAAACTTCCTGTAACTATATCCTACTGTGTGACAATACCTAGAAACGCCCAAACTTTTTATATAAATATTTGCGCCATCTACTGACAGCTGATGAAATAGCACTTGCTTTCCTCCAGATGTATTTTCCACATATAACATTACTGTAATTTCCCTGTTATTTAATTATTATTGAATGATGTGTTTTCGTGCTTTGCAATAGAATAAGCAGAGTAAAAAAGAAAAATAATCTTTTTACCAACTTTCTGTCTTCATTGAATTCATATGAAAGTAAGTACTTCTTTTGAGCAAGTTTTACACTGGAATTGATACATTTTCCTCTCTGAAATTAATAATGATCTAAGTCTATATGCATTATTCTGATTATTTTTTCCCATTTAGCTATACCAAGTTAGTTGTCAAGTAGTTATCAAGGCTGGTTTATAAAAGTACTGTTTATCTTACTTTAATTTCCATTTAATTGCAAAGGAAAAATACTATCACTGTCCTGCTCCAGCAGTGTTATGATTGGGTAAAATAATGGACACAGAAACAATGGGTGGGGTCCTCTTTTTCTTTTTTTTCATTAAAACAGAGCAGCAACTTCAGAACTGAATGCCCAAACACCTGAGTTAGTGTCCTGGCAAAGACATAAACCAGTATCTCTCTGTTTCTGTATAATATCAGTCAGAAATTCCATCTTAGCTGAAATCTAAATAGAGAACTGCCACACTACAACCTACCTTTCTGGGTTTGCATACCATAACCTGTTCATTGTTTAAGATTTGAATGTCTAAGGAAGCAACAGAAATAGTCTTAAAATTACTTTTTCACTTTAAAGCTTATTCTGTATATCATATTTCATTTCTCAGATTCAAGGGAAAAGAGGTTATCCAAAAATCAGAAGGGAAAGATGGGATGCGTAGTAAGCAACAGAATATAGAATCATAGAATAGAATCACAGAATAGTTAGGCTTGGAAAGGACCTTAAGATCATCTAGTTCCAAACCCCCTGCCATGGGCAGGGACACCTCACACTAAACCATGTCACCCAAGGCTTCATCCAACCCGGTCTTGAACACCACCAGGGATGGAGCATTCACAACTTCCCTGGGCAACCCATTCCAGTGCCTCACCACCCTGACAGGAAAGAACTTCTTCCTTATATCCAATCTAAACTTCCCCTGTTTAAGTCTGAACCCATTACCCCTTGTCCTGTCACTACAGTCCCTAACGAAGAGTCTGTCCCCAGCATCCTTACAGGCCCTCTTCAGATACTGGAAGGCTGCTATGTGGTCTCCACACAGCCTTCTCTTCTCCAGGCTGAGCAGCCCCAACTTTCTCAGCCTGTTTTCATACGGGAGGTGCTCCAGGACAACTGATACGGACAACTGACACTCTCTGCTGTTAATGCCAATGAGCCTTTTAGTGGTACTCCATGATTCTATGATTCTTTCTCCATTTCTGTCTACAGAGAAGTGTATTCACAGCTGGTTTCCAAATGACACCTTAGAATGTTGGTATATACAAACCTCACCATTGTCTGCTCTTAGCTATAAAGATTTTGCTATCTATCCCTAAGATGAGATAAAATCCAAAGATAAAAGCTTTCTTCCTCCCAACATTGATTCCTGTTTTGGAATGCAACAGTTTAACTGCCTGAATATAACCTACCTATACTCTAATGAACACAGAACCAGGCATACATTTGCTTAACATTCAGTAACCGCAGTAAATTAGAGACTCTTATTCAAGAGGATCTCTTCAATTAAGTGGCAGTACGAGCTGGTCACTGGCATAAAGTTCTCCAGGTCTGCCTACATGCTATAGAGAAACATATGTTAAAAAGCAAAATAAGCATATTACCATTAATTGCACTTAGATTTTAGCAGTGCAATCACTGGAAGAAAATTTAATACATTCCTCACATGTTTATGCATACTTAATTTTGTTAAAAGTAGCCAAATATAGTTGTTTCCTTTATCTATTTATTTAAAGGCAAGTATCTTTTCTGAAACCCATTAGGCTGATGATGACACAGTAAATAACAAACTTCAGGGAAATCTGAGATGTGTCAAAGCGTTCAATCCCTATTGCTCATTTATTTCAAAACCACTTGCAATACTATCGTAGTGAGCAAATACAAGCAAAATTAGTTACTGAAAAGTGAAAGAAAATTAGAAAACAAAAGTGCTAAATTCAAGAAAGCAATTTAGAGACTTAGGAAACAAATACATCCTTCTGCCCCAACAGACTACATATTTACACACTTAACAATGTTAATTTCACTATGCAGAAATAACTTTAGATTACAATAGTGATTAATACGGTCTTGCACGTCTAAAACATGCATGGCCTTGAACAGAATCTGCAAAACTGGCAGTATATGACCTAACTTACAGTAAAAATTACTGTTCATCATGGGTAAAAACAATCTCCAGCTATTGAGCTTTATCTATCGTGATTCCTACTCAGACACTAACTACCCTTACTCTTCCAGAAGCTCCACTAAAAAGCAGAGGGAAATCCTCAGGGCCACTCTAGATTTCATTTTCAGTAAACACATCTAAACATTAATAAATTAACCTAGAACCACCAGCATTCCCAGATACTTAAATTCTTATTGAAACACTTTCCAAATAAACTTATTACTTAGTGATACAAACACCATACTACCACATACCTTCATGGGAAACTTCAGAGAGTTGCCTGGTAAGTGTGTAAGTCACGTAGCATGATTCGTATTTGTGAAGCTCGCTTCTGACAACTGGGTCTTTATTTTGTGCCCTCCTATTTCAGCTCTCCTCAAGGATTCACAACATGTATTATTTTGCTTCCTGCAGGAACAGTATTTCTTCAGCCAAGGAAGACGAGTGACAGAAAGGATGCTATGATGAATGGTGGAACTGCCTTTGTCACAAAGGGCATGCTTTGCCTTGACATGAAGCAGCAAAAGGAGTAACGGGTATGGGTAATTCGAGGCAAGAAGCACAGGTTGTTGGGCAAGAGCCTGCAATCCTTGTTTAACCACGTCTTTCTCGCATGGCTGTGGGCACTCAGTGCTAACACTAACTTACTGGCAACATGCGTACACACCTCCCGCTTTCTTTCAGCCGCAATTCCTGTGAGCACAGATATAACGAAGGTGCAAAGTGGCATTTTAAAAGCTAAACCTCAGTTGTTTAACTCAACCCCGCGCTTCAGTAGGTGGTTAACTGCCGCTCGCTTCGAGGAAGTACTAAACTTTCTAGCACAGAAAACGCCAGCTCCGTGACTCATTAATACTTAAAACGCCTCAGTGCGAACGTTACCACACCAGCGCCCATCCCTTTTCGCTTCTCAGAGGACTCAGCCCTGCTTCCCCCGCGCCCGCCGCTGTTGGCCGGCGCTTCCGGCGGGTCCCCACCGCGGGCCCGTGACCCCCAGCAGCGTGACGCCCGTGTCCCACAGGGAGCCGGGGGGGGGGGCAATAAGGGCGGCCGGTCAGTGCTGCCACCCCGGCCAGCAGCCCGGAGCCTGGTAGGCGGCCGGGCAGCGGCAGGATACAACCCCGTCGCAACAGGCGGCCGTCTCGGGCAGAGAAACAAGCCGAAGTAGACAGCCCGCCCTCTCCACTCCTCCCCGCGGCACAGCCGGCTGCCCGGCCTGCTCTGCCTCCTCCCCCCGCTGCTGCCGACGTGGCGGGGCGGGGAAGGGAAAGGAGCCCGGGGTGCGCCGGCCGGGCACTGCTGAGCGGTAAGGAGCACGGCGGTTTCTTCTTTTCCTGCCGCTTTTGAAACTGGCTGCGGGCTCCTCACTAGTAACTGCCCCAGAGGGGATCTCGAAAGGAGAAGTTAAACAATAGGAAAGGGGAAGCCGTGGCCGCTGCGGGTTGAGGGAGCGGCTGCTCCTGCTCTGCCCTAGGCGCGGTGGGAGGGCGACCTAGGGGCATCGCCTCAGCGGCGCTCCCGCAGCGTCCCACAGGAGGAGAAGTGTCGGCGGGTGTCGAGCGGCAGGGGAGCGCGGAGCTAACAGCCAGGGAAAGGTGTTCCTCACGGAGGCGTTGAGTCGCGCCTCTCGGTGCCCGTTGGGTCCGGGTCTTGTTCCGAGGCGGAATTGAGCTCCTCGGGCGGCGGGTCGGCAGGTGCCACCGAGGCCATGAGGGGCCGCCGGTCCCGCTGCAAGGCGGCTGCGGGCGGGGTGCTCGCCTGGAGCTCGCTCCGGAGCTGGCCTCGGCATCTCCCTCATGAGCTATCTGTAGAGTCATTCCCCTTGGTAAGGAGTTGTCCGGGTTGGTTTAGATCAGAATAGCCTCACGGATGACAGCTTGAGTGGCGCCTTACTCCCGGGCCAGGCACGGCGCGTGTTTCCTGACAGATGCGGGAGTTTGCTGTTGCGCGCTTTGCTCCCATAAGGAAGGTTTAGCAGACAGCTGCAGGACCCTTGGCCTGAGTGGCTCCCCAAAGATGACTCAGTCCTGCACGGTATATGTGATCTTTTAAAAATTGTACTAGTGCTGGGTATTGTTTTATTCCGATCCAATCCCCGTCAAAATTATGATGCACGTGTGTACTGATCCTACAAGTTTCGGAAAAGGATCCTCTTATCTGACGGTGGAATTTGTTTTACAAACACAAAACCTTTCTTTAGGTGATGTTGCCCATCACACAGTGAGTACTGTTAAAACAATGGTCATATTTACCCACGCTAAAGCATTTTATGGTATTTGCTATATTTGTAATGGAAAACTGCAAATACTTGTGGCAGATGCAAAGGTTCTAACTTGTAAATTGGTGTTTTCTAAAGGTAATTAAGTTACAGTGTAAGCTAAAGTAATATGGGTGGTACTAAGTGCCTATTTGTTTTTTTATGTTTGTTGTTCACTAATCCTAAATGCTATTCTTGGACCTGTTCAAACAGATGATCTACATCAGCTAGACAAACGGGCTGCTAAAGCCACAGATGTACATGATTCTATAGACTTTAATAAAATACAGCTAAGGGCAGATTTCTCTTAAATCCCAGTCATACGTTGCTTTTTACCTTTCTTTTTTCCTGTTCCTCAGTTTCTCTTAGACCTCAGGCCTTCCTAAAAGTACAAAGCTTTGAACCATATTTAATCTGGGAGTCAATGAAAAGACAACACCTACAGAGAGTGTTGTGTGAGTTTATTCCATGCTGTGCAACTCAGCATATAGTCAAGAGCTAGCAGTAACAACTCTTTGTCAAGGGCTGTCCTCACAGTGGCAGGCATGCTGTTGATGCCAACAAGTAAGTGTTAGTAATCACTGTAGAGTAACCCTTTTGGATTCTATCAGTGCCACTCCTTAATCAGCTGCTCAATGGCCATTTTTTTCCCTTTCCTGAATCCTCAGGCTGCTGCCTGCACAGTGGTGGAAAATACTTAGAAAAAATAAGTTACATTGGAAGATAAGGAGTAAATAAGAGAAAACTGATTTGTAACGTACCAGAAAAAAAAATAAAAATCAATAACTGTACCTCGTGCAAGCTTACCTTGGATTCAAAACTGAAGTTTAATCACACAGATGGAATTTTAGGAGCAGGTGAGAAGCATTGCACTCCCCAAACAGTAAGCCTTTGAGACAAGCGATGGAGAAACAGTGTAAGCAGCAAATGCTTCCTATCTGCAAAATGGCTGCAGGGACCACGGCCTGTCATGTTCTCAAATTATGCCCTTTCTCGAACACATAAGTATCACCACTGTGTTTGTCATCCTCCTCTCCATCAGTCAGTAGGCTATAGGAGCATGTTTATGTGGAAATGATGACAAGGAGAGCAAGAGGTTCTTGGCTATTGCAGTTCAGATTATCCTGTTCACCAGTGGCCTTTCACAGGTAATAGGTAACATCTAACAGAGAACATAGGAATTAACCATGTGGAAGCTCTTACCTTTGACTCCTCCAGATAAATGAGCATCCTTTCTCCTTCACCAAAGTGTATTTTGGAGAACAGTGATACTGCTCTTCATATTTGAGTGAGATCCTGCAAGATGAATAGTGCTGTATGTGCCACAGGGTTTTTTCAGCAATAGCTTGTAACAGTGGTTTTTTTTTTCAGCAATAGCTTGTAAATGCTGCATATTTTATAGTCATTCAAATGTTTGTGGAGCCTAAAAGATGTAATTTATTTTCTGTATTCAGAATTGAAAATGTCTGAAGACATATGTGATGGCATCCCAGCTGAAGAAAAACCTGAAGTAATGGAAATGCCCAGCAAGGAGGTGTTGCCTCATGAGTCAGTACCACACCTTGTGGAAGCTGAGATCTTGCATGAGTCTTCACAAGGTGAACGTGGACAGGCTGCTCAGAGTGCCAGTAATAGACAGGAAGGAGAAATATTTATTAACGAAAACCCTTTGACTGAAAAATTAAATGAAAGTCTGCCTTCCAATGAAGAGGCAACTGAAGACGTGCCAGCTGAGTGCAGTGATACCGTGAGCCTTGATGCAGAACCTGAATCTGAAGAAACACTGAATGAACAAAGCAGTCCAGTAAGTAATGCCTTTTTCTTCCATGAAAGCACTCCCCTCCCAGCTTTGTAAGGACAGAATGTTGTACAGTGCACATACTGTTTTTCGCAAAAGCCTAAGGAGTTACATACAAAAAACCTGCATGGAAACTACGAATAGTTGAATTTCTCTTTGCCAGAATGATATTAATTTCGTCTTTCTTGCTTGTTTGCAATAAAACTATACCAAGAATATAACTGATTTTGTATAAAAATAATACTACCATGATTTTGTTATGTGGTTTTCTGTACAAATCTACTTCATTCAGTTCAGAGAAAGAACCTAGAAGAGGACAGAATTTAAGCTGCATGTGAAGCACTGAATCTTGTGTGTGCTAATTTTCAAGTCACTGACTTTACGAAAACCGTGTATGATTTACAAGGCTTGGTGATATGGCCAGTGGTTTTTGATTTGTTCTAGGCCAGTAGGTTTTGATCTGTGGTCCACAGATCTTCAGGAGCCCTATGAGTAACTGCTTAATAATAAATAAAAGAAATAAAAATAAAAGAAATAAAAGAAATCCCCCCCCCAAATTCTAATAATGAAATAAAAGAAAACAAACAAAAAACAAAACCAAGGCTTTTTTACGGTCTATACAGCATCCAAATCCAATGCCTGTGACATAGCTGAAGATATTCTCGTCTCCACTGAAAAATTTTCAGGAATCCACAAACTGGACAACTTTTAGCCCTTCCACCAATGATCCCCCTTTCATAGGGGGAGATCACTGGTGGATGCTGTATGCTGCACCATGCAGAGCTACCTTGGCATACTTCAGCTTTTGGTTTTGAATTGGTTGTGTAGGGATGATACGTTACTGGAGACTTTTTTGAGACAACAGTTTCTTAATATGATTTAAATATGGAATACTGGTAACCACTTAATGCCACACATTAATGTAAAACACGAGCAGGAACTCAGTTGTTGGGAGTTCCAGGTGCACATCTACTGTCTTACCCCTCTGAGGAGACTCAGGCAGAGAAGCCTTTAACTCTAGCTTCTGGTAGAACTCAAGGAAGGAGATGGGTTCCTGCTTCTCCCTAATACTAGCTCTAATAAACTTATATGGCTTTATAGAATCAGGTACCTGACGAAATATTAAGATGTCTGTAAAGACATCTCTGGTGTTTTAGGTGCTTTTAAGAACAGGTGATGTGAGCTAAGCTTCCCATTCTGCTTTCTTGTGCACAGAAGCTTGAACTCCACATAATACCCAATCTATCATCACTTATTAGATGCTGGACTTTGTTACCTGACAGGTTATTTGTGTTTTCTCCTGTCTTTGGGAAACATGAGCTTTAGACAGTGGAGTAATATTTCTGTTCTTATAGGCCACAGACTCTTCATCTAAAGCAAGTAGATGGGGAGCTTGGGGTACCTGGGGAAAGTCTCTCCTGTCATCAGCTTCTGCCACAGTGGGTAAGTGTTCAATCAGTAAAGTTCATGGAAATAAATTATAATCTTAATATGTTGTTAGACACATTACTGTTGTATTTTCAAGATTCATAGACAGTTTTGTCCTGATATGCTTGGCAAGCATCATTTCATTTTTTATTTTTTATTTTTTTTCAGTGGGAAGGAGGACCTTCCTAAACTGTCAACAGCATAAATATTTCTTGGTGTCAGATTATGGAAAAATTACTAGGGTTGTTTGTAAAGTTAGTGGATGACCTCACTGTAGCTTCTTCACAGAAAGGACGCATAATTTGATACAGTTACTATCAGCCAAAGGCTTATAGTTTTTGAAGCAAAGCACTCCAACTCAGACTCAAGCATGTAGCTGTTAGTGGTTTATACACCATGACTTCTACCTCTACAATATGAATTTGCCTCTCATAAATCATTCCAGCTTTCAGTGACACCCAGTGAAACTGTTAAGCCATCATACCAGACTTCAGAGAACAGAACAATGTGCTGAAACATGGACCCTATACTCCCTCTCCCTATACTGTCATTTCCAATAGTATGTCTGTTTAGTATGTCCTTGCAAAGACTTTTGGTAGAACTTGATCATTACACATTGAAACTCACAGACAAAAAGTGAAGCATGCAAATACCTAGTTACCAGTGGGAAATCATTCCTTACAAAAAAGCTACTAAGCTGTTAACTAACCAGTTTTCATAAAGGATCCACAAAACACTTTTAAAAGATGAAGCTAGTAATTAAAATGAATTGCTAATTACTAAAAGTGACAGATTCAACAGAGATACTGTTTCTATAATCCCATATAAGGGTAAATAATTCTCCTTCCTATTCTCTTCTGTTCCATGGGCAATAAATTATTCCTCTGTCTTTCTGGGATAAGGAGGGAGCTTCCCCTCTCTTCTGTTTTTTTTCAGTAATGCTCACACTCAAGAGTTCCTAGCTACCTTTTCTTTCAGACAATCCAACAGATGAATGTATCTAAACGCAGAATGAGCTTCTAAGATGTCTTTAAATTGGCATAAGTGATGGTTACTGCTGAAAGGAGCAGGCCTGTCTTGCCCCAGCAATGTATTTCTTCCTTCTCGTATGCGAACAGTAGTGTTCATGTAGTGATGTGGGGAGCTGGTTTATGAGACTGATTTTTGAAAAGTACAGATGAAGTAAGAGCTGGATCTTCAGCTGGATCAGTTGTAAATTCCCTAATCTGGTTTACCATTTGGTGACCCAAATGCTACTGAATGGGGAATGATAGGAACACGGAGAGCATGCCGATGGGGACAAGGACAACTTAGCTAGCTGTGGAACTGCATGAGTGTTCTCAACTTGTATTTAACCTTAAAGCTAGCACTTCTCTTTCAAATGTGAAGAAGGGTCCTTGTGTTGAAAATTTTACCCACCTTTTTTCTAGCACTATCAGTAGGTCTAATAAAAGGTACTGCTTTCACAGACATCCACGAGCCTTGCCTCTCTTGCATCCTCAGACTATCTAATAACAGCATTCTGAAAAGAATCTGGCTTAGCGTAAATAACTAAAGAAGAAAATTTATATGCATAAAAGTAATTTTACTGTTGAGCAGTTGGAGTTGTAATGCTGATGAATTATTCAGTTTATTTTTATAGTTGCAGCAGTGGTTTTCTCAGAACAGAGCTTTTTCAGGTCATTCAGTTTCTGCCTGTGAGATAGCCATATTTATATTCTGTTTAGCTTTTGCAATAAATAGTATTTCATCAAATGGCCATTCTAATATTGTTTGTGAGTAATAAGATTATTTGTTACGAAACAGTAACTACGCTTGCAGGCTTGCAGCAGCAATCTGCGTTACAGTCTTCTGTTGCTTTGAAGTCTCGGCCTCACTGAGCAATAAGTTTAATGTCACATAGTGCATACATTTTCTGTGGACAGTATGGCCATAGATATTTTTTTGCCCAAATGACCTGAGCTTGCCTGAAAACAATAAATGGTGTTGGAAGAGCTTTGGGAGACTAATATTAACATACCATCTGACTGTATTTGCATCATAACCATCTTCACAGAGTGCAAATATGTGAAAAAGTTTGTTGTCTAGGCAGCCTGACTTGATAAGGTTGTGCAATGGTGACTATTTTGAATATATATATTGTTTATATATATTTAGAATTATTCAGTGAGCGCAGTTGGAACAGGTCAGGTTGCCTTGGCAAAGCAGCATCTGAAACATGCAGAAAAGGAGAAAGAAAATTTAAAAATTGTTTTGATTTTACATGAGAATGGTTGCACTGTGTCACACTGAAGACCCCATGTGTTATCTAGCTTCTGGCAGTGGCCAAGAGCAACTGGGAAACAGCCTAAACTCAGATGTATGTGAAGCAGCACTTACTCAGTTTTCTGTTTCCATTTCCTGGAATCTACAACCTAGACTTTCTGACCCTGGGATCAGGGTAGGGTTGAGTTCAGATATTACTATCTAATAATTTTGGATCTATGTTTTCTCTGTCAGTTTATTAAATGAAATAGACTTTGAATTAAGCAGAAATCAAATGTGCGTTATTCCCTGTTCCGAGGTAACTTGAGAGACCACATAGATAATCTCAGATTTGTTGCAGAAAATCAATGCAGCAGGTAATAGTTTATATTCCTGATATAGAGGGCTTATTTCCTCGTTGCTTGTTATGGAAATTCATGCTTGATCCTGTGAAGTATCTGTCTGTCACTGTCATAGACAGGATGTGGAATGGCATATACCATGTATCTGCTTCAGTATGATAATTCCTAGTGAGAGATAGAGAGAGGGGAAAAAAAAAGCTATTTTGAATTTCTGTAAGTTTTCTTATTATTATTAATTAAATATTTATTTGTCCCATTCAAGTTATTCTATTTAATATCTGAGCAGTTCAAACAACACTTCATCTCCTATTCTTCTTCAGAAAATAAGTTTGCTGCAATCCAGTCCATTTTAATGTTGCTTAAAATGTTGTCAGTGTAATAAATGACATAAATAAAGCTGCTTTCTTGGAATTAGGCTTATCAGCAACACCTTCAGTATGTGATTTTTCTGTTGCTCTGTTATTATCTTTGTACAACCGAGCTGCTTGCCTGGTTAAGTATGACAAATACTTACTGTTCCTCATATTTTTCTTCAAAATTGTACTCTTGTCAAAATAGCAGAAACAGTTTGAGGTAGACTAGGTAACATCTTAAAGGCCTAAGCAAATACATTCAGCTTCTAATAAATAGTATCATAGAACAGCCTAGGTTGGAAGGGACCTTGAAAGATCATTGACAAGTGGTAACAGGTTAAAACTTAAACAAGGGAAGTTTAGATATAAGGAGGAAGTTCTTTACTGTAAGGGTGGTGAGGCACTGGCATGGGTTGCCCAGGGAAGTTGTGAGTGCTCCATCCCTGGCAGTGTTCAAGGCCAGGTTGGACAGAGCCTTGGGTGACGTGGTTTAGTGTGAGGTGTCCCTGCCCATGGCAGGGGGCTGGAACTAAATGGTCTTAAGGTCCTTTCTAACTCTGACCATTCTGATTCTATGATCATCTAGTCCAGGCTTTTGTGGGAAAGGGTGCCTAGATGAGATTATCTAGCATCTTGTCCAATCACATCTTGAAAACATCCAGCAGTGGCAAATCTACCATGTTTCTGGGGAGGTTGTTCCAGTGATCATTCTTACTGTAAAAAATTTCTTTCTTACATTCCTTTCTGTTTAAGACTGGCCTGAAATGGTTGTTTCAAGGATTTTGGTTTCATAGAATCATCACGGAATGGTTTGGGTTGGAAACAACCTTAAGCTCATGTAGTTACAGCCCCCCTGCTATGGGCAGGGACACCTCTCACTAGACCAGGTTGCTTTAATGGAAGGTGTCATTATGTCATTTATTATTCTTCAAAGCCTGATTTACTGTTCCCAAACAGATTAGCATTTTTACTGCATGGCTGTACTTTGTTTAGCATAGCTGATTTTAGTTTCTAATAATAAGTTAGTTTCCGTATAATTTGTATCTTATTTCTCTTTAGCTAACTGCACATACAGCCAATGATTGTTCTGGAGATGGTTTTGGATTCTAAAGAAAAGATTTGTTGTCTTTGAACTGATTTTGACATTACTTGGATCAAGGTCCCAGCCACAAGGCAGATGTGATACTCCCCTACACAACAGAATCTGTAATGCCTTTGAATTAGTGGTAGTCACTGCCTGAACCATGCCTAGTGTCTAACACTAGATGTCACACTAAGAAAGTTATTGAATCTGTCTCATTAATGAGGTGAAGTTTTCTTTTGTTTTTAAAAGGTACAAGAAGTCCGGTTTCCCTCCTTGTGGAACCACAGTAGAGTAGATCCACTGAAATAGTTGCTGGGATGATGAGACGGGAGAAACAGCGTCACTACGATCTGGAGACACAAGTTCTTGTACTTACCATTACCATTTTACTCTTTTTCTTTTAAACTGAATCTTTTAGTAAATCGGCAATTATACCATCCAGTCTTTTAGTAAGAGTGTTGATAAAACTCTGCTCTAACAGTGGGTTACCATTACAGCTAAGCCAATCTAATGGGTAGCAGCCACTGAAATGTGCAGTCCTGCATTCTTTTCCTGGCATATTTCTTCCTCCTTCCTGTGCCATCATTCATGCTTCTCTGAGCTCCTGGTAATCCAGTCAGGAAGCTAAACTGACATAAGAATAACTCTAGAGGAAAGAAAAATCCATTTTCTGCCTCTTCAGTTCATTGAAATAACTCACTAGATAAGTGCCAGGGCAAGCAGAAGGGATAAAAATGGAAAATGGGAGGAACAGCGCCAAGCACCACCACCAAGAAGCCATTAGGTCATCTTAGCTTTAACAGCAAACCTTTTATCCCCAGGTGATAAAAAAAGTGAGGAATAATGTATTCTCACTCTGTACTTGAAGCTTGTCACTTCCATTTTTTAAAACAGCATGTATACTTGTAGCAATAGTACAATTATATACAATAGTCTATTGCTATTATTAAAACGTTTACCACTGCATTAAGGAGATCTGAAACTAGTCTTGTTTACTAGCTGAATTGGAGTTACTCCTGATTTACAGACTGGATAACATATGAATAATCAGAATCTAGTCTTTGGTTTTGTTTTAACTACAAGGAAAAGAATTTTTCTAAAGCAAAGCCTTGGAGTGAATACTCCAATACTACCAATAGGGTAGCCTCAAAGTGAGCATAATGGTGTCCCACTTTTTAGTGTACAAAACTAGAACACAGCTGGCTTTTCCACGTATGTATGCTTCATATGGTGGAGTGACTCCCCCCACCAGCCATCTTTCACGTTCATCGGTTTCTCAGTGTCAGATGCTAATTTAAGGCCTCAATCTTCATCTTTAGCTCAAACCAGCTGAAGCTTCATTCATATTACTTGACTGAAGTTTGATCACTTGCTCATCAGAAGTGCCCTTGTGGTGCAAGACAGCTTGTGAAGACTGTGTGGTAGCCAGGGACAAAATCTCAAAGTATTCTTCTCCATCTCTACCATAGAAGCAGGGCGTCCAATAGCCTGGGAGTACTGGATTGACAAGGGACAGCAATTCCTTCTGAGAATGGTTTAGATTTCAGACATGCTGAACTGCCTCCAAGGTGTCTGTTGGCCTCTTTCAGCTCTGCAGGGAATCCAAAGCTACTAAGCTGGAAGGTGGAAGATAAAAGAGCCTAAAGTAGGATGTATCTGACTAAAGCATTTGTGAGTGCTGTAATCTGGCCTTGGGCAGATCAGGCAAACTCAAAGGCAGGCCACATTTTTAGGCACTGCTTGTAAAATCTTCCCTTTCAAGTGAAAGATTCCAACCAGCAAGGTGAGCAACATCATTCTGCTGAAATCACCAGCCAATAGAAGGAAAAGAAATCATGTAGGCAAGAAAAAGCAGCAACACAGGGAAAAAGGCATGCTTTCTTGAAAAAGTATGCAGGTAATATCCACTGCATAGCTCTTCTGTCCCTGCTGCCACTAATGAGTAAATGGAGGTGTTGGAGGTGTTCCTAAGTCTACAATATCAGCTCTGTTGTGTCACCCAGTGTAACAAAACCAGTGCACTTTCTTCTCTAAAATGTAGCCTCATCTCCCATAATCTCTTTTATTTCTGTGCCTTTTAAAATTACAAATAATAATTTTAATTTCTAAAGCAACATGAGCTTCTGCTGTGTTTGTGCATGTACGTGTATTTAACACTGCTGATATGCTTCAGTTGTGGTCTTCTGATCTCATCCAGTTTTGTTGTTGTTGTCAAACATATGTGCCATCCGGCTTACTCCAGCAAAACTAGTCCTAGTTGACCTGAGGTATTTTCTTATCATTATCATTATGATTCTAGTGCATGTAACCACAGCCCTGAAAATGCTACCTATTGTAAGTCTGTAAATATCAATACAGCAGCTGTGTGCCTCCTTTTCTTGGAAGTATGAGATTGCCTGTAGAACTATGAGAACCAAATTACAGAATATTTAAAAAAAAAAAAAAACCAAACATTTTTAGGTACCGGAAAAAAAAGGGAAATTAATCTGAAAAATCCATAACTTTCATACACAGTTAAAAACAAATTTATGCTTAATGTTCATAGTTACTTTTTTTGTATAATTACAGGACAGTAGTATTTTATTAGCAAGTCAAGACCTCAAGAAAAATTAAGTCAATGGAAAGAATAGAACTTTTTTGCTCATTTAAAAAGTTGTGAGCAAGAGAAATAGAAAGGAATGTGGTATGGAGCATCTATTACATGAGTTTAAAAGCACAATTAATAATTATTTGAGTCTCAAGAATATGTAGAGTAAATAAATGGCTCGAGCTATTCATACTAATATTTTTGCTTAATCAATTAAAATGTGCAGAAGATTGGGATTAGATAAAGTAGTACTCTGCTCTCCAGTATCTGCATTGGAACATATTTTGCAAAAGGCCAGAAGTTATCCAGCAAAGAGTTAAATCGCTGTGGTACATAACCTGGTATGTCCTGTACAATTGAACAGACTGCTACATTTTGTCAGACATGAGATAATGTAGACAAAGGTCATATTTTCTTTAAACAGGTAAAAGTATTCACCTGCCTAGTCTTTCTGTTTCACTGTAAAACATCAGGACCCCATTTCTGCTGTACAGAAAATTACTTGTTTCTGCTTGTGTGTTCCTTAGGGGACATCTTCTTTGTTCTTTGTATTTACCTCCAGATACCCCAGTTTTCTTGTATGTGATCTTTCAGTAGTGTTGCTTCACATATGTTTTCTAGAGTATATTTAATACTGAATTCGCAGATCACCTGATGTGCAATCCATCTGGAAATCATATAATCATAAACCTGAGCTTTCCTTCCTCCTACTCCATTTTAAATCGTTTTGCTGCATTTCTCTTTGATCAGATGTTCAAAAGCATATTTGTATGTTTATGTGTATGTTTATTAGAACACTGCAGAGCACTGGCAAATGATAGCTTATTTTGCTGTAGTTAATATAACTCAGAAAAATGCTTTGAACTTTCCTAACAGAAAGTGCCCCCAGTTATGGGAAAGTATGGACAACATTTAATTAATTGCTGTGCTTGACTTTGTGCCTTAGATGTCCAGGTATCTGCATAAGCATCTGCCTTAATGTCTTTTCTGAAATCATTTCTCTATTAACAGTTCAGCTGAAGGTAACAAAGCAAAGAAGTATGAAATTGTCATTAATACTTCTTACAAGTATTTAGGCAGATAGTTATTGCCCTGCTGCTAGAAGTGATAAGCTTTATGTGTGATGCAGTAATAGTGTACTGAGCAAGAAAGAATCACACAGGGTAGCTGAAGCCATTTCATTTTGTGTTGGAAAGAAATTTTGCTCACTTGGTTGGTTGTTTACTTCTTGCATCTCAGCTGATGTGCAGAAACTTACAACTAAGGAAGTTGTACTAGCTGGATCATTTGTAATGGGAGAAGCATATCAGGAGCATACTTGTAGACATACCCAGAGGCAATTTGAGGGTAGTCTTTTTTTAAGGGCAGCATTTTTCAACTACATCTGGTGCAGGTTAGGAAGTTATTGCCTCCTTTTGCAATTGCCGGCTACAGGCAATCCATCCTATCCTATAGTGGAATACTACCAGTCCAGGGGATCTGCTAGTGTAAATTAACTCTGTATAGAAAAGCAGCAAAGCAATCCTGTTCTATCAAAATTATTCAGATATATTCAGCTAGAAACCCTAATAATATATATTCTGTACATTAAACTAGACCATTTTAATAGAACAGAGACTTAGGGAGTCGCTATGTTAGGTAAGGGTCAGGTAAAATCTCTGTGGGAGATCAGCTGCCACTGGAACAATAATTCTATCTGTCATCTGACACCAGCAGTTTACGAAGTATATTAAAGTAGCAGCTTTGAGGTGAGATACTTTGGAACTTGACTTCAAGTGAGCAACTGAGAAGCTTAAATCCTGAAATAACTTTGAGGACCTGGGTCAGTATTCTGAAAACAGCTAACATAGCACCTATGCAGCAAACTGAAGAACAGATTCCTTACCTCAGCCCTGCAGTCATCCACAGACCATTAATTGTAGCTTAATTGTTCCAGAGTTCTGAAAACTAAATTAGGCCAAAACTATGTCATTAGGAGGACCAACAATTTCTGTTTAAACTGCTTGCAGTAGAATATTTAGCATTTTGAAAAGCAGAGAACTAAACTTACATGTGTCACTGAAACAAGTTTTGCATTTCAGATCAAGTGTCATCTGTAGGATATTTCAGCTTTATCATTTCTAGGCAGAAGAACAAGTGAATTATTAACCTATTAAAATATTAAGTAATGGGGTAAGTTTAATAGTTACTCTGATTGCCATCATTCATGGGGTATAAAAATACTAGGCACTGTTAGTAAAACATTTTCAAATAATATAATCTAAAATATGCTTCTGCTGCAGGTCATGGGATAACAGCAGTAAAGGAAAAAGCAGGATCTACCCTAGGAATTCATAATACAAGTTCAGCATCTTCAGAAACAGCAGAGTCTCCTGCAGCTGAAACACCAATTACACGTAAGTTCAAGTTCACTGAATTTTGACAAAACTCTTTGACATTGCCAAATTAGTGCAATTTACAGAATTTTAGTGTTTTGACCACAGGATCTAGTTTACTGTAATTTATGACTTGTAGAGTTGAAAGTATGCTGTATGCTTGCTCTTTTCCTTTTGTTAGAAGCAGAAGATACTCTGGACCAAAGCTTTTCTGAGAATATTCCTTCTTCTCCTTCATCTGGATCTCGTGGCATGTTGTCAGCTATCACTAATGCTGTTCAGAACACAGTGAGTCATTTTAGCTGGCCTCTCTGTTCTAGTTATTCTGCATCATTTTTAGGTGCAACTTCACTGTAGATCACATTGGTTAAGTTGTAGGTCTTTGTAAAAGCAGTTGTGTTGTAAGTCTGTTTAGAGTCTCTTCCATGGCAAAATAACAGAATCAAATAATAATAAAAAAACCCATACAGAACAATTAAGTTACTACTTTGTCACCAAAGTAGAAACTACTGAAAGTACAGAAGAAGTCTCAGTGAAAAATATGGTCTTCTCCTAAACTATGTCAGATTTTTCCAGTCCTTTATATATCATTTTTGTAGTTGTGGTATCATCATCTGGTTTTCTTTTACAGTTAAGTCCTTCCAGAGAGTTACCAGGAGATTTGTTATCATTTCTGAAGGCAGATCAAATAAGAAAATACTCTATTTGCTGATATTAAGGCTTTTACTAAACTCTACTGTTAGTCCCTGGCCCTTACCTTCATCTCTTTCTCTAGTGTCTCGTTTCATATTAGTCTTCACTGAAGGTGGTCTGATTGCAGACTCAGTGAGGCAAAATCTTTTGTCCATGGTTCTTCCCTTTTACACGCTCCATACATTTTCTGTGTGTTGCACTTCATCCTTTTCTGATTTTCTGTGTTGCAGCTTTTGCAAAATCTTGTACCATACTGTTTCCAAATCAATTTTTGTGTCATTTTCTTCCCCAATGTTTTTGCACACATTATCACAGCAAAGGTTTTCCTCTGATCTTTCCCATATGGTGTTTCCCTTGAAATTTTAAGAGACTTTAAGCATTGGCTAAAAAAGCATAGAAGACTAACTCCCTATTGAGCATGTTTTACAAAGTGCAATTCCTTTATTAGTGCATATCCACTTCACTCTGAGTGCCTCATCACTCTAGTATCTACTAGTTAAAGCACAGAAAATCTAGGGACCTGAATGTTCAAAAACAGTGTTGGCAAAAACAATACTCTTACTGTTCATATTAGCATAAAGTGGAAAGAAAATAACCACATTGTGTTATTTTGTACAGGGGAAAAGTGTTTTATCTGGAGGTTTAGATGCTTTGGAATTCATTGGGAAGACAACCATGAATGTCCTTGCAGAAAGCGATCCTGGATTTAAGAGAACCAAAACACTGATGGCAAGAACAGTTTCTCTTTCTCAGGTTGGATGTATTTAAATGCAGCTCTGTCAATTCTTCTTCCGTAATTTTAGATGCCTCAGGGAGAGGCTTTATTTATTGCAGTAGATACTGGCTAAGCTTATGGAAATAAATATTATGCTTTATATTTGCTTCACTTTAGTTTTCTTCACAAAATCACAAAAGATAATGTAAAATCGTCTTTTCTGCATAATCACATGTGCAATAGCAGATTTTAATAAGACAGTATGTGTGGTGATAGATCATTACTCTCTGGAGACAGAAACAAATTGTTCATGTTTTTGTATCAGCTCTAGAGAGATATCTTCCAGCATAAAAATCAGTATAGTACTGTCCTTGGAAATGAGTAATACTGGAATATGACATATGTTTTGTTATGAATTAAAGCTGTGAAGTTATATCTTAATGTTCATCTAAACTAATAGTACCCTTACACAGGTGTGACTCATATGTTTGAAAGATGAAGGACATGATAAAAACAGAATAGAAGCATAAGTGCTGTCAGTACAAAATTATTTTAGTTCTCCAGACACTGAGAGGAGAGAGGCTGTGGAAATCAATAGACATTGAAAAAACCTGTAATTTTACTACATGTTTACTTCCTTGTAGGGAGGAGTAAGATATTTTTCTTTTAATGAGATGTTTCATCTTTAGTGTTTATCATTCTGAGTGTGGACAGACTAATGCTATTGTAGCAGGCCAAAAGCAAGTTAACTCCTGTTAAGGCCTACAGGGTTAAAATGAGCTTTTAAGGATGCCTTCCTAAACAATGTGCGTTAATTCACACATAAAATCTGAGGCAGAAAGTGACATGAATCAGTTCTCATGGGTAGCATAACACAGTGCTTCCTTCTGAGTGATTTGTACATAAACTTTGTGAGTGATCTTTTGAAGGTGGAGACTGAAAAATCTGCCATCATACATCTTTTGTAACAAATTAATAACTGAAGACAATATCTTAGAAATTCTGGATTGTGGACTAGTGTAAGTGGAAAGAGTTTACCTGCATTCATAGGCCTACATGTGATTTAAGATGCAGTTCAGATGTATTTACCAGCTTTACTGTAGCAAATTCGTACAAGAGGCCATTTCTTACTGGGACTAGAAGGCATAGGAGATCCTATTCTGTACAGTAGTCTATCCTTCCTATACACTAATAGCAGTGTATAAGAAGACCACTCTAAAACATCCCCCTTTGGTAAAAGTCATCCCTTACTAGGCCAATCTCTTTTGTCAGTCCTGCTGTCACATAAAACTGACTTTAGTATCAGCTAAAAATATTTTATAGGAAATATTTATGTAGGTGCATTATTTATGCAAGTAGGTATTTGTATTTGTAGCTGATATTGCTTTTGAGGACATAAGCAAGATTATTTGATGATTAGCAATTACCACTGGGAAAAACACATTTAGAATACTACTGAAATATTTTATTAGAGAAGTTCATCACAAAAGAAGTTAGATATTTCAGCTCTAAAATTTCACCTCTGCATGTGTGATGTAGTCCCAAATTTTATTATTTTAGATGTGCAGAACCAGAAATAAAACCTGTCATACCTACAGCACTACCCATAAAGCAACAGAAATTATGTGTATTTTTGCAGCTGTTGCGCGAAGCTAAAGAAAAAGAGAAACAGAGGAGGGCCCAGCAAGTTACAGTTGAAAGAACAGCCCATTATGGACTACTCTTTGATGAATTTCAAGGTTTGTCTCATCTTGAAGCTCTGGAAATCCTGTCAAATGAAAGTGAAGCTCAGGTACAGTATGCAGACAGCATTTTGATGTAAATCAAAATGGTTGGGAAAAAACAGATCTTCACATTAGTTTTACTCTGCAGCTGCATGTGAAATGAGCAGTAAGTTTTCCATCAACTTCAAAGAAAGTTGGATTGGTCCCACAGGCCAGTCCTTGGCTTCAGGAAATCAGTCTAAATACATCTAAAGTTTAACTCCAAGATTAACTCAAACAGCTTCCTAATTTAAAGTTATTTTTGTTAGGATCGTATTTAGTGTGTATTTGTCAGCTTGTGACATTATGTAGATGTTTTCAGAATTTGCAAGGATGTTGAAGTCATTTGCTTTTTGTGTCAAGCAGGAGTTGCAGACCTACTACACAAGTCCAATTCCCTGATAAATATTCCAAAAATCATGTACACATGCACAAAATACAGTACTGTAAGCGTGAGACCTATACTGACAGCCCAAAAGCCACAGGAGGAGTGCAAGGGACTGAAGGCACTGATAATGTCCTATGTGTTTCTAATAGCAGGGATTTAAAAATATTTTTAAGCTTTTATTTGAAAAGTTTCCATTAAAAAAAGTTCCCAATGAATCCTATAAAATGGGTGATGTTATAGGGAGGGGCCAAAAAGTCCTTCACAGTCTGAATCAGGTCTTCCAGCTTTACCTTGCATTTAACCCTGAGCATATGAGCTGGCCACATGAAGGAGCAGTAAGAAGTTAATGTAAGAAAATAGCTTCCTCCAGTCTCTCTCCTGAGCCAGTCTGCACATCTGTTAAACAAGGTCTAAAAAAAAACAACCCTTGAAACAAACCCAAAAGTAACATTCTGTATCAAAGGGGAGAAGGCATTTCTGTTGGCTTCCCTAGGCAGAGACTGTGATCATGGAATTAACACCATGTAACTGTAGTGCAAACATACAGCGATTCAAAGAATCTCTTTCCATCCCTCTTAGGCATGCATACCTATTAGATATGCAGGAGCTTGCAGGTCCCTGAGACATGCAAAGACCTGTCAATACGTTCTTCAGAACTGGTAGACTGTCAATAATTTTGGTTGCATTTTGAAGGAGGCAAGACAGTTTTCTTTTTCCAGCTCTTCCTGTGACTGCTCAGGCTAACCATGAACTCTGCCTGTTCTGTTTTTGCTTGCTGTCTTCATCCAAGCAATCCCCACGTGCTTATTGCAGTTTGCAGTTACACCATAGATTTATAGTTCAAAACAAATGTTCTGTGAGAATGTAGAGACCTGATGATCTTGCAAGGCTGGTGCAGTTTTTGTGATACTCAACAAATCTTGTTGATGAGAACTAAAAATGTGTCTGCAGTGGAAGGTTTGAGCATAGTGGAAGTTTCTGTTTCCTAGCCTGTTTTGGTATCAGGCTCCAAATTAGCACTTAAGAAATGCTCTATTTTGATGGGGAATGCTTACTTTTTCTTCCAAATGTCCTTTCATTTACAGATTCAGTCATATTTAGCAACACTTGATGGAGAGCAGTTGGAGACTGTGAAAACTGATTTAATTGCTATAAAAGAGATCTTTGTTCCAAAGGAATCAGATGATGAAGCATTGCAGGCACAGAAAGGTAATTAGAAATACAGAGACTTAACCACATGAATAATTGTTACTTCTGTATACAGTAATCTAAAATGCTACAATCCAAAATATAATTTCTGATATCTAACACTCTTCATAAGGTAGTCACTAAAATTAATATACCAGAAGTTCTGGAAGCTAATCAATGCTTCATTTTGAATTTCTGCGGTAATTGAACTGTGAGATGTAGAAAATATAACATCAGGAAGTGTTATATTATTTTGCTTTGTTGTCAGTGAAAGCAAAACAAAATTAAGGGAAAATAATAACCTTTTGGATAACTGAGTTTTTCTTACAGAATCTGTTTATGAAATTGTGTAATCAGAAAGTTTTGAAGTCTTTAGCAATGCTTTTCTGTTTAGCAACTTCATCTTCACTTTGCACCCTCCCTTGCTAGACAGGGAAAAAATTAGAGTGTAATAAAGAGACTTAATAATCATGAACTTTTTGAGGGGAAGTCACTTTGAAACATAGTGGCAACGCTGCTTTCTAGGTATTGTTTGGCAAGACATGGGGTGTGGAGTGTGAAAAATAAGTTAAGACAACAGAAGCATGCTGTAACTATGACCTAGTACACAGCATTGAAGGGAACAGGACCAGCATGACTGTCTGTAGATCAGTTTACAAAGGTTACAATAAAATCGGTTAGGAGCAAAATAGGTGTCTTAAACAGGTCAGGAATGTTGGCATTCCCCAGAACAGAAGGATAAAAAGTTAAAGTCACCATAGTTCACGTCTATAGGCCTGTGAGATCCATACCAAACCTCTTCTAGCTGATAGAAACAACCCCTTTAACCTGATTGAGGACTGGCTTATGCCATTGAACACTATGTTGCTGTGTTTCAGAAGCAAAAAGATATCTCTTCCACGTCTTCTTGATCTTCTCAGGGGTCCTTTGCCCTTAAAACCTACATTTTGCAAGATGGTGAGGTGTGGTTTCTCTAGCCTTCAGAAAAGTTAGAAAAGATAGAGATTAACTAACGGTGTTTGAAAATGTTAGATCTTATTTAGCCACTGAGCAGTATTTGAAAACAAGCTAATTACCACTTACTGCTAATTTATTACCACTTTCTCATCACCCAAGTAATGGTATTTGTGTGGTGTCAATTGCCAGTGCTATACAGTTGGGAGGAAGACCGGTACTTTTGCATTCCCGTGTTTGGAAAGGGTACCCTAGACTCTCAGAATCTCATTCAGAGATGGTAGTGCTGCTTTTAGTTGCAACTCTAAACTCTTTCAGTCCTGCAGAAGGAGAAATAACTGCAGCAATCTTCAGAGTTTTTTTGAGAAAAGGACTTAGAATCATAGAATCATAGAATAGTTAGGGTTGGAAAGGACCTTAAGATCATCTAGTTCCAACCCCCCTGCCGTGGGCAGGGACACCTTACGCTAAATCATATCACCCAAGGCTTCATCCAACCTGGTCTTGAACACTGCCAGGGATGGAGCATTCACAGCCTCCTTGGGCAACCCATAAGTGCCTCACCACCCTAACAGGAAAGAATTTCCTCCTTATATCCAATCTAAACTTCCCCTGTTTAAGTTTTAACCCGTTACCCCTTGTCCTATCACTACAGTCTCTAATGAAGAGTCCCTCCCCAGCATCCCTATAGGCCCCCTTCAGATACTGGAAGGCTGCTATGAGGTCTCCATGCAGCCTTCTCTTCTCCAGGCTGAACAGCCCCAACTTTCTCAGCCTGTCTTCATACAAGAGGTGCTCCAGTCCGCTGATCATCCTCGTGGCCCTCCTCTGGACTTGCTCCAACAGTTCCATGTCCTTTTTATGTTGAGGACACCAGAACTGCACACAATACTCCAGGTGAGGTCTCACAAGAGCAGAGTAGAGGGGCAGGATCACCTCCTTCGACCTGCTGGTCACACTCCTTTTGATGCAGCCCAGGATACGGTTGGCTTTCTGGCCTGCGAGCGCATACTGCCAGCCCATGTTCATTTTCTCATCAACCAACACCCCCAAGTCCTTCTCCACAGGGCTGCTCTGAACCTCTTCTATCCCTAGTCTGTAGCTGTGCCTGGGATTGCTCCGATCCAGGTGTAGGACCTTGCACTTGGTTAAACTTCATAAGGTTGGCATCAGCCCACCTTACAAGTGTGTCAGGGTCCCTCTGGATGGCATTCCTTCCCTCCAGCGTATCAACCGAACCACACAGCTTGGTGTCATCGGCAAACTTGCTGAGGGTGCACTCAATCCCACTGTCCATGTCACCGACAAAGATGTTGAACAAGACCGGTCCCAACACCGATCCCTGAGGGACACCACTTGTTACTGGTCTCCAGCCGGACATTGAGCCATTGACCACAACTCTTTGCATGCAGCCATCCAGCCAGTTCTTTATCCACTGAGTGGTCCATCCATCAAATTGATGTCTCTCCAATTTAGAGACAAGGATGTCGTGTGGGACAGTGTCGAACGCTTTACACAGTCCATGTAGATGACATCAGCTGCTCTACCCCTGTCCATCAGTTCTGTAGCCCCATCCTAGAAGGCCACCAAATTGGTCAGGCAGGATTTCCCCTTAGTGAAGCCATGCTGGCTGTCACCAAGCACCTTGTTGATTTTCATGTGCCTTAGCATGCCTTCCAGGAGAATCTGCTCCAAGATTTTGCCAGGCATAGAGGTGAGACTGACTGGTCTGTAATTCCCCGGGTCATCCATTTTCTCCTTCTTGAAAATGGGGGTTATATTTCCCTTTTTCCAGTCATCAGGAACTTCACCTGACTGCCATGATTTCGCAAATATGATGGCCAGCGGCTTTGCAACTTCATTTGCCGGCTCCTTCAGGACCCGTGGATGGATTTCATCAGGACCCATGGACTTGTGCACATTCAGATCAGACTTTTAAGATGGTCTTGAACCAGCTCCTCTCCTACAGTGGGCCCAAGGTCTTCATTCTCACAGTCCCTGCGTCTGCCTTCGAAGACTTGGGTGGTGCGGTCAGAGCCTTTGCCAGTGAAAACCGAGGCAAAGAAGTCATTCAGAACCTCAGCCTTCTCCAAATCCTGTGTAGCCAGTTCTCCTGAGAGCTTCCTGAAGGGGCCTACATTCTCCCTAGTCTGTTTTTTATTTGCTATGTACCTGTAGAATCCCTTCCTGTTATCTTTAATACCTCTAGCTAAGTTTAATTCTAACTGGGCCTTAGCTTTCCTAACCTGGTCCCTAGCTTCCCAGACAACATCCCTGTACTCTTCCCATGCCACCTGTCCTTGCTTCCACTTATTATAAGCCTCTTTTTTCATTTGAATTTTCCTCAGGAGCTCCTTATCCCTCCAAGGAGGTCTCCTGGCCCTCCTGCTGCACTTCCTTCTGGTTGGGATGCAACACTCCTGAGCTTGCAGCAGGTGATCCTTGAATATCAACCAACAGTCTTGGGCCCCCCTGCCCTCTAGGGCTGTATCCCATGGAACCTTCCTAAGCAGGTTCCATTTTGTCCATCACCAAAACTATTTGGTATTAAAAAAAAAATGAAGAGCAAACATGTTTTGCTGTAGAAACAACTTCAGTAGGAGAGTATGGATTTTACATCTATTTTCAGTTCATTTGGGATTTATACTTGATCATACAGCTGTGATAGAAACCTTGCCATTATTTCATTTTCTATCAGAGAATATTTTATATTCTCCATAGGATAAGAAAGTCTGTTTAAAGACTTTTTTAAAGTCTGTTTAAATCCAGGGCAGTGAGCTTGCTGCACGCTCTTCTCACTCTCCTGAGGATCGCAAATTCGAGCATCTCATGATCATTGCATCCAAGCCTGCCCTGGAGAGTCACATTTCCAACCAGCCCTTCCCTGTTCATGAGCACAAGGTCAAGCATGGCACCTCTCCTTGTCGGCTCCTCTATTACTTGCAGAAGGAAGTTGTCTTCTACACAATCAAGGAACCTCCTGGATTGCTTGTGCCGGGCCGTACCGTCCTTCCAACAGATGTCAGGGTGGTTGAAGTCACCCATGAGAACAAGGGCCTGCGAGCGTGAGGCTTTTCCTATCTGTCTATGGAGTGCTTCATCTGCAGGTTCTCCTTGATCAGGCGGTCTGTAACAGATCCCCACAGTAATGTCTCCCATAGCTATACTCCCTTTAACCCTGACCCACAAACTCTCTGTGGACTGCTCACCTGTCCCCAGACAGAGTTCCATACTCTCCAGCCTATCCCTAACACAAAGGGCAACTCCCCCTCCCCGCCTGCTAGGCCTGTCTTTTCTTAAGAGCCTGTAACCTTCCATTCCAACACTCCAGTCATAGGAGCCATCCCACCATGTTTCTGTGATGCCTATTATATCATACCCCCGTAGACATGCCCACATCTCTAATTCCTCTTGTTTGTTCCCCATGCTACAGGCATTTGTACAGAGGCATCTGAGCCAAGCTCCAGCTGAAGCCGGCTCATTGGCTGGAGCGGCTGGGATATCTCTACATTGCTCCGAGCATTTATTATAGGTTCTGGCAACTGACTGGGTGTGTTGGGATGGAATGATGCCCCCCTCCCCCAACACATCTAGTTTAAAGCCTCCTTGACCAGTCTGGCAAGCCTCCTACCAAAACTGCTCTTTCCCTTATCATCAGACCAGCTCCACCAGCCCCCACTAGATCTGGCCTACAAGCTTGGGTCTCATGTTCAAGACACCCAAACCCCTGACTATGACACCACCCTTTTAACCATTTATTAACCTGGCTAATCCTCCTAGCTTTTTTAAGGTACTCCCCTGTATCCTGGAGAATTGATGAAAAGACTATCTGAGCTCCAGAGCCCCTAACCACCTCCCCCAGGGCTCTGTAGTCTTTCTTTAGGTTCCCCAGGCTACTACTATCTATATCCCTAGCACCCACATGTATCACCAGAAGTGGGTAATAGTCCGTGGGACTTACTAGAGCAGGCAGCCTCTCTGCCACATCCCTGATCCGTGCCCCCAGTATGCAACACACCTCCCTTGAGATGGCGTCTGGCCGGCAGACAAGTGCTTCTGTCCCTTTCAGTGTAGAGTCCCCTACTGCTACGACCCACCACTTTTTCCTAGCAGCACCAGTAGAGATCTTCTTTCCCAGGGCATCAGCCGGCTGTTTCTGGCTTGAGTGCATTTCCTCATTAGCCCCCTGCAGGACAGCAAAGCGGTTCTGTGTGGGGACAGGGGATTTAGGGGGAAGCCCCTTGCTTTTGGTTGTCCTTTTCCTTCTTTTTTTTGTTTTTTTTTTTTTTTTTGTCACTAATTCCCAGCTTCCCAGGTTAACGGCCTCCTTCTTTACTTCATGAGCTAGAGGTGAAGCTCGAGGCCCCTGCACGGTTTGGGCCAGGAGCAAGCATTCCTGCTTCCTCTCAGCTTCCCTGACATCTCGCAGTCTATTAACAGCATCCCGCAGCTCAGCCACCTGCTGCAGGAGCACCTCCACCAGGGAGCACCAAGGGCAGCCCTGCCCATTGTGCACCTTTCCCTCACCAGACCGGTGCAGGCACTCTCTACACCCTGAGCTCTGCACTGCAGCCTCCCCTCTCATCGGCTCTGTCTGGGTGCCTACGCTGGCCACCCCCGGGGCAGCCAGAGCAGAGCTCCCGGACCGGGCCCTGATCATACGACGAGTGCTCACCATCCCGCTCGCCTGCCCGCCCGAGCAAACTGCCTTGCCACGCTCCTGATCGCTCGCGCTCCCTGGGGCAGGTTTTTAACCAGTCAGGGTTGGTGCCACTGCTTCAGACTTCCCCCCGTGTGAGTCAGCTGCTGGCGTCAGCTGAGCTGTCGGCTCCTGGGCAGGTCCTGTCGAGGACTTGAGGCTCCCTTGGTGGCTCTTGTCGCTGAGTTGAGGCTCCTGGACGCTGATCACCCCCCCGCTCCGGTGTTGAAGGCGTCCTCTCTCGAGCTTGGAATTTTGAGGGTTTTTTCTTTTTGCATCTTTGCTTAACAGCCAGACAGGTACTAACTAAATCAATATGAAAAGATGGAAAGGAAAAGACATTTTCTGACACAAGTAGGAGAAAGCCAAATGCATACCCTTCTCTCTAATGTTTCCTCTTTGATTATGCAACCCTTCCACATATTTTTCACTGCAGCGTCTTTTCCTTTCAGTTGTTTATGAAATAATGAGAGGAGAATATCTGAAAAAGTAGTTTTTCCTACACACCAAAAATTTCATATCTGAGGCTAAGGGAGATAGGAACCCAAGTGAGTATTAAATTGAATATGCCAGTTATCAAAAATTTGGGTAAGTTTACATTGATCTAGTGAACTTCTTACTAGTTTTCATCATGCTGCAGTTTATAAAATGATTTGGCATTGCTTTAAGACCAAGTGAATTCAATGTATCCAAGAGGTGCTGTGTTGCAAAACCTGAAAAATCATGTTGCCCAAAGTTACTGATAAGGGCAGCAATGAAACGAACTCTGTGCTTCTCTTTGGCCTGCCAGAACACAATCTTCTTGGCCTGTTCCCCTGTTGTTAAGAGGAAAGCTCAGTCTCTTGGTCATTGCAGGTGAGCAATTCTTCATGCTAAATACTAATTTATTTTCTGTCACCAAATATGTCCCTGTCCATGGCAGGAGGGTTGGAACTAGATGATCTTAAGGGCCTTTCCAACCCTAACCATTTTGTGATTCTATAGGCACTCTCTTTACAGGTAAGGGTGAGATGTCCTTTGTTCTGAGTATAGTCTGAGCATCAGATTCCACTACCTTTCCACGTGTTGCAAGGTATTGTGAATTGTAGACAGTTCTACCAAAATCCCTAAACTCCTTGGAGAGTAATGGCCTTCCACTTTTAAGCCCAGTACTGATGATTTGCATAAATCAAATCAAATTTGCATACCAGTTGGAAAAACTGGCCTACCTAATAAATAAACAAAAATAGTCAGAATACGGCAAGACATGAAATTAATTTTTGACATAGCTAGACTTTTACCAGCCTCAGTATGGGGACTTTGACCTTTTAGTGTCATCAGGCTAAAAAAATGGATTTTATATATTCCTTCAGGAAATGTTAATTAAGAATCCAAACTCAGTAACTACAGGTGAACAGAACCAACTAAATTCCCAACTTTTAGTAACTTCGAGTGTGTTAAAATATGTCAACTGTAAGTAGTCAAAGGGATATATATAATAATGATGAAATTCAAATAATGATGAAATTCAAATTCAAAATTTCATCATATAATAATGATGAAATTCAAATACTAATGATATTTATCTTTGCTCAAAAATCTTATGAAATAAAAGTGCAGATACTTTAAGGCTCATTACTCCAAAGCAGAAGAGAAAACATTCTTCATTAAAGCAAACCTCAATCTTAAAATAGAAAGAAAAGACATCTCTAGGTGTGGTTTGCAGACAGAGCAATAGAGAAAGTGTCTTCCAGTATTTCCTCTGAAACTTACTTGTGTCTGGCTCTGCTGCAGTTTTTATTCCTTGGTTTGAAAGAATAGGTTAATATCTTCAGTTACTTTGTGGGTCATGTGCTGTCAGATAACTAGGGGTCATACAGCTTCTTCTCTTCTTACCTGTTTTTGTGAAACTTAGTGGAATTTAGAATGGGGTAGAAAGAGTAGTGGAAGAGCCAGGCTAGCATATCAGGTTTTGCAGGTATCTCTCTTGCTTATTCTCTTCTTTGTTTAAGCATACGCGCACACACACCCACACGTCCCTTTCTTTCACCACAGTCAATGTTTTTCAGGTGCCAGAGTACCTGGAGAAACTATTTGACTTGATGTATTTGATCGTGTAAAATATTATAGTGATAACACCCTAACAGAAATTGTCTTGTTTTTTCTTGCAGCAGATATGGGAGAAGAGTTTGTCAGCATGCTCACTGAACTGCTCTTTGAATTGCATGTTGCTGCTACTCCTGACAAACTCAATAAGGTTAGCACCTGTTAAGTGAGCTGCCCTCTGTTTCTTCAACAAAGAGAGAAGGCTTTGTTCTCAAATCTGACACAGAGCAGTACCTAGCTCAGTGCAGACAGTTCAGAAAGAAAAGTACAGGAGGGTGGGACTAAAATGATGAATACAGAAAAGCTTTCAGAGGAGAAGAGAGATTAGTAAGGCGATACAGCCACAGTGACTAGCTAGCACAATGGGCCCTGTTAGAAAGCCTTCACCTAGGGATGTCTCAGCAGAACAGAATTCATGAGCACAGCAGATTTGGTCTTACATACTGGGAACAAAGGTCAGGTTCAGAATTATTTTTCTTGCTCATCATGTTTATTCTTCTGAGGGACTTCTCCAGACCTTCTTAGCCATAAGCAAAGTCTTGGCTTTATCCCATCTAGCTTCAATCATCTAAAAGTTAGACAGCTAGAAGCTAGTCACATCTCTAGTCACATTTGTACTATCAGGCCCCTTTAAAGGTGATTCACCTGCTTATCTTAGGCTCAAATGAATCTTTATCTCTCTAGCTGCATATATAGACTTTGGATAACTAGCTTAGGCTTAAGGCATAACATATTTTAATTTAACTTCATGTTAAAAAAGAGACATCATAAATATCCTACTAACCTTAACAGTAGCCTGAAGTTGTGTAGAACTTCAAGGCTTTTCCACTTTGATCTACTTTCATGCCTGGCAAGGCAGCTGAAGATACAGCAGTTTTCTATTTCTTTTTCCTTTAAGAATTTAGTACATCTCTCTTACCTCTCCAGTATTTTTTTTTTCTTTTTTTATACCACCTTCTTATTTTCATTGTTTTGGATAATTATTCTTATGTAAATTCCTTTGAAAGATGCCTCCTAAAGCTGAAATAGTAGTAATTTTGTTTTTAATGCCAGCTCTATGTGCTGGTTAGGAGTATCATACCTGTAGAGGGCTTATCCCTGACTGATCCGTCTTTAAACAGTCAGAAATGCTTCTCCCCACAATTTCTTAAATATACACTTAACTGAATTCCACACAGAGGCTTAATATGTTTAAACTTCTGAATGTAAAAAGGAAGTATTAAATATATTGTAAATTAATGTTCAGGACCATAATTTGATATTCCATATTTGAACTGAACTTTGGGGTTGGGTTCTTTGTTTGGCAGGCTAGGAAAAAAGCTCATGAGTGGCTAGAAGAAGCCACTTTTTCCACACCAGTAGACATAGAAGAGAAGGTAAAAGCAAAACCTGAAGAACCTGGTGAAGAAAGCGCTGAAAAAGAAGAAAAAACTGACAGTGATAAACCAGAAATAAATAAAAACAAAACTGTGGAGGTAATTAGCTTTTAGAGGATAAGTTTCATTAAGTAAATTGTTATACTTTGATAAGATTATTTTTTTATGTTTGTGTGTCAGTGTTATGCATTGTCCTTATTTTTTAAACTCATGGAAGTATTAAGAAATATTAACATATAACTACTCACTGTAAACCCAATAGAAAACTAACTTACATTAGTATTTTTACTGTTAGTCTGTTCATATAAGAAAATATCAAAGTAGCAGGTCCTCTGCTTAATGCATTGGTTTTATTTTTTCATATCTGTGCTTTTGAGTGTATGCATGTGTATGCACAACATACAGCACAGCAAGCTGAGAGATTCTGTGGCATAACGATGATAGCATATTGCATTCTTTGTCATCTCTTTGTCCCAGTGACAGTACATGGAAGAAGTTCTCTAACTATTTAAACTCTTGAGCAGTTTAAATAACAAACAGACAAACCAGAAATATTCCTCTTAAGGCTAAAAGCATTGTGTCCGTTTAGGTAATCCCTCTTGTTGATAAGATTGATTTTGACTGAATATTTTACACCAAATTACAGCAATATTAAATGTGGTTGGTATCTTTGTCAAGATTTTTTTTAATTATTCTAATAAAGAAATTATCTCTTATGTTTTCTTACAAAAAAGGCCCAAAGAAGGAGGCAGAGTTACACTGTATATATTACTGATTTTTATGTGATTGCAAATTTCCAGCTGCCATCATCTTGTGAAAGGTGTAGTGCCATACTGCTGGGTAGAATTTTCATCATTGACGATAAAAGCCACTTTCTTACTGGGAATATTATCCATTTCTACTCTGGAGAGTGATATGAGGGATGACTCAGTACTTTTCACTCCAGATGAAATTAATTATGAATTATTCTAAACTTAAGGGTTCTTTGTATTTGTTAAGACTAAGTTTAAAAGTGCTATGTTAGAAAATCTGAGAGCCTGACCTAGTTTCCATACAAATAAATGGTAGACTTGTTCTTATTAGTTTTTCAGGATGAGGATAAGGTCTGTGTTTTATAATGTGTGGATATTTAATTTTCCAGTATTGTTTGTGAGGATGACATTATAGCTGATATTACTTCACTGTGTTTGTAGCAGCATTTCCAATTGGGGCAGGGAGGGCTCCAATGTTTCAGTTTCTTTCCTATATATATATATCTATACATATAATTATCAGTGTTGTTATTACTGATTATATTATTTCCTGGTTTTAATTTAAGGAAATCTACATGCTGTCCATTGAAAGTCTGGCCGAGGTAACTGCTCGTTGCATTGAACAGCTTCATAAAGTAGCGGAATTAATTCTGCATGGGCAGGAAGTGGAAAAAACAGCTCAAGATCAAGCAAAAGTACTGACAAAGTGAGTAATACAAACATTTGCTTAAAACTCATGAAGGTCTGTTCGGTTTTTGGCACCTGGGGCACACTAAGTTCATGGATCAACAGACAGCACTGGCTTTAGGGATCCTGGTGGTACATTTTCTCATGTAATCAAGTTATGTAGGCTGTCATTTTCTGACATGGGCAACATATGTATGTTTACAAAAACATGTCTTGTTCACAGTCTGAAAGTCGTTTCTGCTCCAGCAAGTAAAAGTATGTGCTAATTTGGGTTGCATTTCCTATGCATACAGCTTGCTTTTATAGTGTACAATGCAGTCATCTTATTTGCCAATAGTTTCATTATCTACAGTTTATCTGCCAAAAAAATACAGAAAAGTCAGTCTGCAGCTCTAATCAAGACCACGTTTGTCAGCAACTTTGCAGTAAACCATGACAAAACATACGTAAATCGAAGAAGCTGGTTTATCTAGTGGGACTCAAAATTCAGATCTCAAGCTCTCTGTAGTAATCAATTCTACTGATTTCAGTGGGTTTTGACATTAAGGTGTGGTAAGCACTTGAGTTTAATAATTTACTTTAAGTAAGTAAATTATTTAAGTGTTTATCCTCAGGAATGCTAGTAACAATAGCAAAGGCCATAAGAAACACTTCAGTCTAAAACAACGTACTTGAGCAAGTATTTTTCCAAATTAGAGCTAAGGTATAGTGCACTTTGCAGGATGAGGTTCTAGGTGATGCATTTGTGATTGTTTAAAAAAACAGTGAAAGGTCTAGGAATAGAACTAGATCTCTTTGTTTGTTGATATTTTAACCACAAGGGTACTTCCTTTTTAATACATTTAGAGTAGATATTATATTGCTTAGATAGGAAACTTCCCACTGCTCTCATTGAAGTTTGATTTATTTCCAGTAGAATTTGTAGGAGTTGTATTGCTGCAATCATCAGAAAAACAGCAGTTAAACTAGAAGTTTGGACTTTAACAAATGGAAACATTGCCCTGTCAAAAAAGACCAGTGTTTGAGCCAACATGACATCAGTTTGCTGCTGTAGTCAGCCATGGATTTTTCAGCGGAGGAATATAAAAACTGTATCATGACAAAGTCTACCCCAAAATATTTAAAAACTTACTAGAAGCAAAATTGCCCTAACATTCTTGGCTTCTAAGATGAAGCGTGTGCCTGGGACAGTCATAGGGGTTTTATCCATTAACTGGACAAGGATGTATTTTTATATTAGTCTCTCTTTTTTAAACCAGCTTAACAAATGCCATGTGCAATGAAGTTTCATCTTTATCCAAGAAGTTTTCTGATTCTGTAACAACAGCTGGGGTAAGATAAAAGCAATTTTTTGTAGCATTTGGGCTTTTTTTAAGCATAATTCACTTCTTGAAACAGAAATTGTTACCTGGGTCTGGTGGCTTTACCTGAGGTCCAGCAAAATGGGCACTTCACACAGTATCACAGTATCACAGTATGCTAGAGATTGAAAGGGACCTCGAAAGATAATCTAGTCCAATCGCCCTGCCAGAGCAGGAACACCTAGATAATGTTACACAGGAATGTGTCCAGGCGGGTTTTGAATGTCTCCAGGGAAGGAGACTCCACAACCTCCCTGGGCAGCCTGTTTCAGTGTTCTGTCACTCTCACTGAGAAGAAGTTTCTTCTCAAGTTTAAGTGGAACCTCTTGTGTTCCAGTTTGTACACTTCTTTCCTCAGATCAAGAGCGCAGAGCATTTTTACAGCAAATTCCCAGTTGCAGAGAGTTTATAAGCCTCAATAGACTGCAGTGTGTCCCCTGCCTTCTAAAAACTTTCTCATTTTTCCCTATTACCACTCAGAAACTCTTACCTTCTTGTACTGAAAGGGCCCCACATTTGAAGTCCCACAGCTTGATGATATTTTGTTTTCCTACTCAGCCTATCCTTTTTGAATACATTTGTGTAAAAGTCAGTAACAGATTCCAGCACCTTAAGATGGCTTCATTAGCCTTTGCTAATTCCCTTGTACTAGGGCCACTTGTTTTCAAATGGTTTAAGAGATTAGAAAATCTCTTTGGTTGCCTATCTTAAAAAAAACAAAACCAAAACCAAACCACTCCATCTTATATGTCAAGATACTTCATTTAGGAACATCCATTTATCTGTGAACAGCTTTGCTAGAAATAGTATCCTGCCTTTCAAGACGTTTCAAAGATGAGTGACAGATATCTGACTATTTTAGCAGGATCCAGAGGGAAAAACTGTGCTGTTGCTGAAATTGTTCTGTAAACATCAGAGAAAAACAAACTCTGGCTCTTCTGATTACTCCATGAAAATGTGAAAGTACATCAAAGGAAATGTTCCCAGTTCTCCCATAAACTCTTCCAGCACATCTCTGAGCATTTTTTTGGAGTTATTTGTGGCAAATATGATTTATTGGGTTGCTTTTATTCTGAATAATTTACATGCATTCCCATTACTCTGGAAGAAACTGCTTATTTTGCATTTTAGGATTGTATTTTAGCATATCTTTGTGTGACAGCTGCAATAAGTACATGCACAGACAAATAAAAATAAATTGCTCATGAAATATTAAGCTGGTCTAGCTCAGAAAATTGGAACCTAAAGCTTTTGCTAGAATTGCACTGGGGTTTGTTCTTGTCAACCCTGTACTGAATTTTCAGTTTTAGGACCAGATTGGTTTTGTGGACATTTGTGTGGACACGAAAAAGATTGAGCACAAAGACATTTTCCACTGCTAAAATAGTCTCTAGAAGATACTTTTAGAAGGGCAGTCTGATGATCTTCATGTGCTGTCCCATCCCTGTAAGCTTTTGGAGGAAGATGTGGGCCTTCTGCTCATCAGGATCAGTAAGAAAGCAAAGAGCACCTGTCACACTGTAGGACTGTAGAAAACCCACATCTTCCTGCATGTCCCAGGGTTTTGATTTCCTCCTTAGCCTGCCAGCAGCACCCAGGTTTGCAAACACTTTCCAGTATCCTGCAAAGTGCAGTGACTCGTGGGAAACTGAGAAATGGCTTAGAATGGGAAATGCTATTTTTTTCAAACATAATGCCATCCTTATGGCTGTGTAATAGAGGCAGTAGCTGTAGTGGTGGTTGTACACATAATCTATAATGTTGGCAAAATTGTTGAGTGAGTAGTAATGCAGAAGTAAGAAATAACAGCTTTCCTTGCTACGCTTCTTTCAAACTTCAACTTATTGATTCATAGAATCAATAATATTTAATTGCTCTCTATCTGTTTCAGTTTATTGACAATCAACTAAACAGTGCACTTCATAATGGATTTTCTAATAATTGACAGTAGAATTGCTCTTTTCTCTAACCGTCTTCCCTTTGATTCTGCAATCTTTCTCCAAGCTAAAATTAAGGTGTTTCATGTTTCTTTAAATCTGTAATATGAAACCTACAAGGTTGTAAGGAAATCCTTCAGTTAAATTAATTAGTATTTTGTTTCTTTTGCTCTAATAAAGCCAACTTGTTTGGTATTGAAAGAAAGCAGATCTTGCTGGAGCTGGAGGTTTCTGTCTTTCTAAAAAAAAAAACAACCAGTGGAAATAAAGAAAGAAACAAAATTTTGCCATTTTAAAAAGCTGAGAAGTCAATGAATCCTGGTTTTGTAGTCTCTAATAGTGTTACTGCTCATTCTACATGCATTGTACATACCTTACAGGCAGGTGTCAAGAGGATGGAGCCGGACTCTATTCTATGGTTCCCAGCGACAGGATAAGGGGCAACAGGCACAATCTGAAATAGGAAGTTCCATCTGAAAATAAGGAAAACCTTTTTCCATTAGCACTGGAACAGGCTGCCCAGAGAGCTTGTAGAGTCTCCTCTGTAGATATTCAGATCCCTTCTGAACGAGATCCTGTGTAATCTGCTTTAGCAGGGGGTTGGACTAGACGATCTTCCAGCCCCAGACATTCTGTGATTCTGTGTACCCATTGTTATTTCTATCTGGTGGTGGAGAAAAACACTATGTTTACTGTCCAGCCTGCATTGTCCAGCTCAACATACACTGCTTCCAATTTGGGGATCTGAGTTCCACCTGTTCCTCCTGTAAGGGAGCTGCTCTAGGCCTTTCATTTCCTCCTAACCACAGATATTTGTGAAACTCCTAAAAACTTCATTTTCCTCCTGACCTGTATTTTTCCTTCTTGTTTCCTTGAAAATTAAAAAATTTTGGGAGAGTTGAAAAGGGCACTGACAGACACATGGACAGATAATGTCACATAAATCTCACATCCATAGGAAACCAGGCAATTTCAAACTCCATTAATTAATAAAAAAGTAAACCTCTCAGCCTGTTTTAGTTCATTGTACTCAGTGACAGAAATATTCAGGGTCTCCTGAATTGTGTATGAAATGTAGATGTGGTTATCAGGAATGCTATGATAAACAGCATGAATAAAAATCAAAGTGAAACAAGACCTTTATAGAATTCATAAACCCACTTCTCAGATATCAGTATATTTCTGTTAAATGTATTTCATGTCCTGGCATTTCATTCTATTTTCTGGTTTCCAGAGCAGAGTGAAGGCAGAGGTTCTTAACCCCATCATCAACAGTGTGCTATTAGAGGTAATCCTTCACTTATTTTATGTTGGGAAATGTTCTAGTAAAATGATTTAGAAATGAAACAGTCACATTTGTATCTGAAGAAGGAACTATATAAACAGTAATGACAATATAATTATGGCTGTTCAGTGCTAGCTCATACATCTCTTGATTTTGTGTTTAGCCTCTCCCACAAATGCTCTAGTAGTAATATTGGAGGTATTTCATTTAGGATCATCATTTTAGTGAGGATTCTAAAGAACTGTATGACTGAAGTGAGACTGGCCAGCTCTGATATTCTGCTGCTGTCAGAGCTCAGCAGACACTTCGTGATGTGCTCTTTAGCCCTTTTCTAACCTATTCACAAGTTCCCTGGAATAAGTGTGTTCTTACTGTTCTATAACCTACTTCAAGTATTGCAAAGTATTTCTGATTCACAGATAGTTTCAGGCTATTCTTTTGTTTAAAATTTGTATTGCAGGTGTGCTACAGTGCTTCCCATCCACAGGTATTTAGATTTCTACAGAGTCACAATCTAGCAGCAGAGCAGGCTTTGGTCAGCACAGGGATTACCATGTGTCAGACACCACCACAGTGTTCATGAGTGATTTAGTTTATTAGATGCCATGATCTATGAGTGACCTCTTCTATTAGACACATCAGAAAAGCACAGTGAGTAAAATGTGACTCAGTTTTACTGAGAGGTCAAGAGAGAGTAATATGCTTATGAAGTACTAAAACATATATTATCTGCAGCACAAATTCTTTTAACTCTGCTAATTAGAGCACACTTCAAACATAAATAAACATGAAGTAGTGACTACAGATTGTCATTCTGTATCTAATAGCTGTGTTCCCTTAACAATGAGAAAAAGATTATTTTACAATAAGCGATTTTGCATTGAATTAACAGTACCTTTAAGAAAAAAACATGGAAAATTGAATCGAGCTGTAGCAAAGATTACTATGTGGTTCTTCTTGTTACAGGGTAAATTTGCTGTTGCAGCTGACATATTTTTCCATGCCTCAGGAACTGCAAAATCTGGGAGTGTCCAGAATTGTGGGATATGATGTTTTGTACTTCTTATATCTCGTATTTGTATACAAATACATATTAGTACAGCCTAGGGTCATGGGAAAATACAAACCTCTAAGCTGCTATGTTCAGTAGTAGAAATGCCAAAAATAGCACTGTGTGTTAAAACCAGTACAATAATTCAAACTTAATTTTAATATTTCTTCCACCTACGGCAAATTCAAACTTAGTTCTGTTGATGGAGAGACTAACTGGTTTGTATTTAAAAAATCAAATCTACTTCTGAACACTGGCGTTTTATTCTACTTACATTACAAACAAAACTGTCCAAGAGTTCACACTGAGGGGAAATCAGATTTTTATGTAGTGATTCAGGCTGTCCTTTTTAGCTGTAAATTGTTGTAGTTTATAATTTTTGTTATATGCAGAGTATAAAATCTTGTGTGAATCCATATGCTAATGTAGTATGATGCTGATGTAAAACGAAAAATAATGTAATTTAAAATGTGATTCCTGAAGTGCGTGACAGCTCTACTGATGAACCATGTTTTATCTTCCCATTAGGGTTGCAACAGTACTACTTATATTCAGGATGCTTTCCAGCTATTGCTTCCAGTTCTGCAAATTTCCCATATCCAGACAAGTTGTTCGAAAGCACAAGAGTGACAGTTTCCCAGCAGCTGTCACCATCGGGCTTAACAGAAACCGCAGACCTGATGTCTTTTAATGTTTGCAGGTAGAAGAGATGGCACAAGAGATGTCTGGCCTCTTCGAGTCCTTTGAAGACTCTAAATGCAGTTTTGCACATACAGTATTGACCAACATTTTAAAACTCGTCAGACTTTTAGACTTCAGAAGTAGTTAGTAAAGTGAGTAATTTCTTTTCCATTAGAGTATATCCTTTGCAGGAATTTACAATGACGTTTATTGATATTAGCATTGACATAAACACAATTTCTAAAAGTTGACCATTTCAGTTGTGTTCCATGTATGAAGTGAATTGGAATGTAAAGTTGTTTAAAACATTTCAGCTGAAATGACCATTTCTGTTGTTTGCATCCTGTCAGTTAAAAATGTGTATTTCAAAAGTTGGTTTCATTATTTAATTTGAGGCAACATGAACAAATTATCATAGTGCTGTGCTCATTAAATATTGCTTACAGTAGCAAACAGTAACATCATAATAAAATGTACCACCCACGTAGCACTTTGTATTGAAAGAGTTGTACAGTAATAGGTATGAACTTTGCTAAATGAAAATTATGGAGGATCTGCATAAAGAATTATACTGAAATGTTCTGAGCCAGCTAACAGTGCTAGGTCCTGTATTTGCTGACCCATAATTTTTTGTTTATGTCTGTTTCTTCATTCCAACAGCTGAACAACATTGCAGTCTGAAGTAATCTTTTTAATATGCAAGGGATAGAAAATTTCCCTTTTATTTGGCAATTGAAACACCCCTAAAATGATCTCCTCTCAGATAGATGCATCACCAGGTTGGCACTTTGGGGTTTAATTTAGGTTTTAAGCATTGTGAACCTTTTATCAAATGGAGTTACTGATACCAACAATTCAGCTGTACAGGTTTTGGGCACTGAAGAGAAGTTGTGAAAACAAGTTAAGAGAGAATTGCTTTGGGTGGGGAGGTCATAAGTCATCTTTTCTCTGGGGCAGTAGTTACACAGAGCATAAATGAGCAGCAAGAATGATGTTTCATGATAACACCAGTAACTGTGATAATTTGTCTACATCCTTAGTTTAAAATCCTGAGCTAGGAACCTCAGAATTTGTTCAGGTTAGTTTACCTCGTGGACAGGAAGAACATCCCAGTATGTTATGTAGCCTCTTCTCCTGGATTGTCATTGTTTATTATGATTCTTTCATCTGTTTTGTATTTTTTTCCACTTGATACACTCATGGGTTTTATTTAAATGCCCTTTAATTGTGGTCAAGATCTGAATATTTTTTACTATAGAAGTAAGTTCATACATCTTAAAAATAAGGAAATGGAGAACAAGGAAATACTATGCTGTTTTTTAGGAGAGAGAAACCATGTTTCTGCTTTGCACATGATAACTTTTTTGAGACCAAATAAAAGAGGACAGAAAGGTCTCCGTGTGTCTTACAGTATTGTGGTTCCTGTTCTGCTGTCAAACACATTGTGACTTTTCCTTCTTTTGTTACTTAGAGATGGAATTTTCACTATCCTCAAAGTAAGGTTTGTTACATACAGTCTATTTTCTGCCACCCTGTAGCTGAACAGATTTGACATATCTTTCTGGGTAAGTAGAAGGGGTGCAGACTTCAAATCCACTTGCACAAAATGTAAAAAAACCACCTTACAGCAATGTGAACAAAAATAAGAAAAAGCCCCTGGGAAGCTGCAAAGGCAAACAAAGCTTGACATTCATTGGTATTTATGCCATATTGAACAGCTAACATTACCTTAACGTGGGAGGAAGTGGGTCCCAGGACAATGTGACCAGTCAGCAGACTCACTAGCCCAGAGGTAGGATTCAGCTCCCACCAACCATCCCACCCACCACACTTCTATCTGGCATCGCTTTATTTCTGAAAGCATCACTTCAAAAGTGTATTACAGAATAATGTTTAGTTGATACGAAACATTTCACCTCTGACTTCTACACTTTGAGAGGAATAAGTGGACTCTTCTCTAGTCGTCCTGCCTGGCAGCTGGCAGACACACACACCTGTGTTTGCTTGGCCAGACGTCCTTCTTCTGTACACACTGCAACCCAGGAGAACAGCTCCTCAGTGCTGTTAGTGAGGTTATTGTATATGGAGCAATACATTGCTCTGGACACCAGTGGAAGCATTCAGTAGCTCATAAAAAGGCCTTGTTTAAGGTGTGTGTTTCTGTTGTTCTGTGCTGGCAAGCAGAATATAATAACTGGTTAAAGCTTGTTTATTTTTTCAAAGACAGTAAAGAAAAGTCTAATGTTTTCACCTATCAATCATTACAACTGGATTTATTTTTACTTTAATTTGATCATTATTTTTCATCAAGAATCCTTTCTGTTCACTTTGGAGTACTGCTCTGCATTAGGTATCTGTAAAGATCATATTACTGCCAAATGAGTCACAGAACATGGCAGTAGCTATTCTGTATCAGTCCTAATCTGAGTTAGTGTTTTCTGACATAAATTGATTTAGTTACTTTTTATATGGATTTTTTTTTCTCTGAACTGCAGTGCAGAATATATAGTGTTAAACCTGTCAGAAAAATGTGTTGAGTAGTGGTGGTGCCTTTTAGCAGAGCCTGAATAATACAGTATTAGAAGCCTCAGGGGATAATGTTTGCAGTGGTTGAGGGGCATTCATAAGACAAAGATTGCTTGTCTGAGATACTGCTTACTAGAGGTTTCACTGTCTTGCTTAAATTATGTATGTATTGAATAAAGTACCTTACCCTGAAGTAAAAGAAGCCATAAAAAATAACATGCAGACTTAAAGTGTTTACATCCATACAATGTACAAGGGAAAATAGGTCACAATACGAGCATAGGGTTACTCCATCTGATTTCAGATGCAGTCATCTTGCCTTAGGAAAACTGAATGTTGTATCTTTACATCAATTTTAGGTAAATAACATTTCAGTAGAAAAGTACTATGTGGATGTAACCATGATTTTTTGTTTAGAGATTTGTATTTTTCCATTGGTCAAATAAATGGTTTTAGAGACTGAACTGAGACAGTATACCAAAAAAATAATATTTTGAAGAATAATGTGGTGGAAGGATGCACTCAGTGAAGTCTTTCACTTTGTGATTTACCTTTGGAATGATGAGTGAATTTCCTGAGAGTCTGGCAAAACCAGATGTTGCCTTAAGCTTTTATGAGACAGTGTTCTTTCTTTCATCATCACCTTTTCCCAGGTCAGTATGCTGAGCGTGCCTTGGCACTTGTCAAACTATGAGGTTTTAGATGGTTATTTAAGAAATAACCTAGACTGTGAAGATCACCTGTTCTTTCGAGCAACTCCAGGGTTTGTGGCATTCCATTCACTTTTGAGCACACCTTTTGATGCAGAGACAAAGGAAGTAGGCTTTTGCACTCGCTAAGCTGAGAAATTTATCAAGATGAAACTTAAACCAGTGTCTGCAGACCTACAGCTTTGCAGATGATCCACTGGTATAGTCATCACTGAAAGATGACCTAGAAGTAAACTGTTAGACAAGTATTTGCTCTATTTGTATATTAGAGGTATTTGCTATTTTTGTTTTTTTTTTTAGGCAGACAAACCAAAGCAGGCTGTAAGTTGTTTGCTGCTTTTTAGGGTATGGTCTATTCATGTGTAAACATCTCTTCCCCATGATTTGCTCCTCCACCCCAGCATCCATTGCTTGTGACAGCTAAACAAAGGAGCTATCTCTTCCACTTTTTTCATGCTGTTTAGATCATCCACTGAAGCTGTTAATATCTTCCTCTAAAATGTGCCTCAATCTTATAGTGCAACATCGCAATCATTACAATCTGAGATGCTTTTTAATGATGTTTCCAGAGTCACCCACCAGTCAGGATTCATAAATACTTTAATGAGACTGAAATGCCATAGTGTTTGGAGTGATAAGTACAGATTTCCACCATTTTTCTGATTCCCAGAAGTATTTTTATAGTGCAGGCAGTCACCCAGTGCATAGGATTATCTTTGAGACATAGCAATTCTATTTCAAATGACAGCCCTGTCCTTACTGTTAGTCTCAAAAGAATGTAGACAGTAGAAAAGGACTTTCCTAAGATCTTTATAAAACCTCTCAGAGCAAGGCTTAGCGTAACACTGTCAGCCTGCCTGACCTACTTTGGAATTCTTACAGCCTGGCTGGAAAACCCCCTGGAAGTTCAACACTCTTTTTCTGTCTCTGGTCAACCTGTGTTGCTGAAGCTTTTTTTAGTGTGTCACCTGTATAGTTTTCATGCTTTGACTCCTACTTCAGTATTCAGTGTTGACAATGGTGTGTAGTTATAGAATAAAAAAAAATGGAAATAAAATGTCAAAATGGAGCTGTTAAAAAGATGGGGGAAGGAAAATGATTTTTCAAAGGAAAAGAAAGAAAAAAAAAGGATGTGCTTCCTGGAAATAGAAACAGTTTTCAAAGTTGGATTAGAGAAAAGGCTCTCTCACAGAATTTTTCAACACTGCCCAGGATAAACAAGAGATGGCACCTGATTAGTTCTAGGGCACTTCTGCAGTAAAATGGAAATCTGCACGAACTTGAAGGAAATAAATCAAAGATCAGAACATTCAGAGAGGAAGAGCTCAAAGGAAAGGTGATGGCTAATTGGATCACTGTGGACCTGGAGTGTCCATTCTTCTGCTGGCTGCACCCCAGCAGTCCCTGGGCACACATCTGCTAAGAACTCCCATCTCCAGTCTCTTTGCAGTCTTTTTGAGGAGGAGCTGTTCCAGACACAAAGCAGAGCACGAGCTGCGCATTCTGCCTTTAGAACATTTTACCCAGGGAGTGAAAAATATTTCTTATGTAACACAATAACATGCAAAACCACTGCAGTGAGGACTACTCATAATTCTTAGTGAACTGAATTTGCTGCTGCTGTAAAGAGGAAGTCGTGAGGATGTTGCTCACACAAATGTGTGCTATTTCTCTCCCACACTACAGGGTGGAGGCTGAAAGGCGTTTGGCAAAAGGGTGCAGTTTTGGAGTCAGACTGTGCCACCTAGATGAAAGCCAGAACAGTGTTAACTTTTTAAACACCTTTAGAAGCCGCTCAACCCATTTACCAGGCTTGGAAACATGCAGTCCCACTCCTCCTGCCCTTGCTTGTCCCAGACGCTGTCAGCAGCCAATACAACGTAAGCATTTAAGATGCTCTTGCCTTTCCTCCAGCCCCTTTACCAGGTCTGCGCCACAGCCATGTTGCATGTTTCCAGAGGCCACCAGTTCTGCCTTTCCCAACAGTTTTGTTCACCCCACTCACTTCCACCTTCATGTCTACGTCTCGCTGCTGGCTTCTGAGGTTCTTCCCTCCTACCTGTCCATCATCTTGTGCTTGAGAGGCTGCACCAAGACGTCCTTTGTCTCACATCTTCAGTTTTGAATAGGCCAGAGATGTAGACAAGGGGCTAAGATGACATGGGAGGAGAGAAACCAACTGAATCCCAGGAGAAAATGGGAAGACACTACACTGGTTGCTTTTTTAGCCCCCTCCTTCCTTCTCCAGTGTAAGGAGGTTGGACTAGAGACTGCCCAAGGCCCACTTCAACCTGAATTACCTTAGGATTACTTTTTTTTTTCTCACCATTCTTGCCAATGTATACCCATTCTCCCACTGCTTCCTGTAGTTCGGCTCATACTTGCAAGACACAGTGTATTCTATTCAACAGAGATTAAAAGCTTGTAGGAGCATTTTGGGTTTACTTGTTCTTGGTGTTTTTAAAGGTACCTTGGAAAATGGAACCTCCCAGGGTAGTAAAACCAAACACTTATAGAACTGTAGGGTAACTGAGGGTAATACGCTAGTAAGTCACAGTTTAGCTACCCAAGGAAAAGGATAGAGGTTATAGTCACCAAGAATAATAGAGTTCAATTATAGGAGACAGGGAATTAAATTGGGGTCACGAGAGCAGGGCTGTCTCTATCAACAACATCTCTGGGTTACCAAAGGGGAAGACTGATAGATAGTGCCATACTTTGATATATTCAAAGAGCGACTAAAGTGGCCTTAGCAGTTCTGCAGTGTTCTGAGGTAGATATGTCTCTTCATCTTAAACTGCTGTTAGAAAGGAAGAGGAAAAAAAAGAAACCAAACCAGAAACAAATTGTGAAGTTTATTTTATAGACTGTATTAAAAAATCCATTTTTGAAAAGGTTTACGTTATTACCACATATAAGCAATAAAGCCTCAAAAGCGCCCAAATCAAAGAAGTCAGTATTTTTCTCTGATTTTTTTATGAGATGGTAACAAACAATAGAAATGAATGCTTCAGACTTACCCAATCAAATAGAAAAAATTCCATATGGCCTCAAATCACTCAGAAAGCTAATGCTCACAACTATTCCTATTAAATTTGGTGTGGTACCTTGACGGGAGAAGCAATTTCAGAAAGCTTCAGGAGGGAAAAAGCTATATAAATGTAAGGGATGAAGGTTATGAAGTATTAACATGGTGCTAAATTGCTGCATATCATATTTGCTATGGGCAGTTTACAATCTGTTCATCCTGATGGATTTAGCTCAGGGGAGTCTCAAATTCTGTCTCTGCAATTTCTGTCTCTGCCTTGTAATTGATGTACCCACAAATTGTACCCACAAATAACGCATGTGTGCGTGTGAGCACCAAATGAGCCTGGACCCCACGCATCCCAAACGGATCTGTCGCACTCAGAGGAGCAGGAATAAATGGAAAGGAAGGAAAAGTTGCAGGAGATACTGAGTCTGAATACTAATGACCTCAGCCAGTACAAAAGATAGAAAAGCAATTTATCAAAAAATGCAAAACCTATTTGTGTCTTAATATGTTATTAAAAACAATAATAACAATTTTCTGGTTTGAAGCCACATTGTTGGAGTTTTTTTTGCATTTATTTCTTTATCATCTAAGATGTTGCACAATTTCCAAAGGTCTCCTGGTTTACAGGAGAAATTAAAACGTAGTACTCAATACCCTCCTTCTGTGATCTTTCAGCCACCTTCCTCAACAGCCAGAAATTGTATCTTTTAAGCATGTTAATCATCTAGAGTATTAATTATGCTGAAAAGTGTGCTTCTTTCATGAAAGTAGAGGATAATTTCTGTCTTTAAACAGACTTTCTTATCCTATGGAGAATATAAAATATTCTCTGATAGAAAATGAAATAATGGCAAGGTTTCTATCACAGCTGTATGATCAAGTATAAATCCCAAATGAAAAAATAGATGTAAAATCCATACTCTCCTACTGAAGTTGTTTTTACAGCAAAACATGTTTGTTCTTCATTTTTTTTTTAATACCAGATAGTTTTGGTGATGGACAAAATGGGATCTGCTTAGGAAGGTTCCATGGGATACAGCCCTAGAGGGCAGAGGGGCCCAAGACTGTTGGTTGATATTCAAGGATCACCTGCTGCAAGCTCAGGAGTGTTGCAACCCAACCAGAAGGAAGTGCAGCAGGAGGGCCAGGAGACCTCCTTGGATGGATAAGGAGCTCCTGAGGAAAATTCAATTGAAAAAAGAGGCTTATAATAAGTGGAAGCAAGGACAGGTGGCATGGGAAGAGTACAGGGATGTTGTCTGGGAAGCTGGGGACCAGGTTAGGAAAGCTAAGGCCCAGTTAGAATTAAACTTGGCTAGGGATGTTAAGGATAACAGGAAGGGATTCTACAGGTACATAGCAAATAAAAAACAGACTAGGGAGAATGTAGGCCCCCTCAGGAAGCTCTCGGGAGAACTGGCTACACAGGATTTGGAGAAGGCTGAGGTTCTGAATGACTTCTTTGCCTCGGTTTTCACTGGCAAAGGCTCTGACCGCACCACCCAAGTCTTGGAAGGCAGATGCAGGGACTGTGAGAATGAAGACCTTGCGCCCACTGTAGGAGAGGATCTGGTTCGAGACCATCTTAAAAATCTGAATGTGCACAAGTCCATGGGACCTGATGAAATCCATCCACGGGTCCTGAAGGAGCCAGCAAATGAAGTTGCGAAGCCGCTGGCCATCATATTTGAGAAATCATGGCAGTCAGGTGAAGTTCCCGATGACTGAAAAAAGGGAAATATAACCCCTGTTTGCAAGAAGGAGAAAATGGATGACCCAGGGAACTACAGACCAGTCAGTCTCACCTCTGTGCCTGGCAAAATCTTGGAGCAGATTCTCCTGGAAGGCATGCTAAGGCACATGAAAATCAACAAGGTGCTTGGTGACAGCCAGCATGGCTTCACTAAGGGGAAATCCTGCCTGACCAATTTGGTGGCCTTCTATGATGGGGCTACAGAACTGATGGACAGGGGTAGAGCAGCTGATGTCATCTACATGGACTTGTGCAAAGCGTTCGACACTGTCCCACACAACATCCTTGTCTCTAAATTGGAGAGACATCAATTTGATGGATGGACCACTCGGTGGATAAAGAACTGGCTGGATGGCTGCATGCAAAGAGTTGTGGTCAGTGGCTCAATGTCCGGCTGGAGACCAGTAACGAGTGGTGTCCCACACGGATTGGCCTTGGGACTGATCCTGTTCAACATCTTCGTTGCTGACATGGACAGTGGGATTGAGTGCGCCCTCAGCAAGTTTGCCGATGACACCAAGCTGTGTGGTTCGGTTGATACCCTGGAGGGAAGGAATGCCATCCAGAGGGACCTTGACACACCTGTGAGGTGGGCTGATGCCAACCTCATGAAGTTTAACCATGACAAGTGCAAGGTCCTACACCTGAGTCGGAGCAATCCCAGGCACAGCTACAGGTTGGGCAGAGAAGAGATTCAGAGCAGCCCTGCGGAGAAGGACTTGGGGGTGTTGGTTGGTGAGAAAATGAACATGGGCTGGCAGTATGCGCTCGCAGTCCAGAAAGCCAACCGTATCCTGGGCTGCATCAAAAGGAGCGTGACCAGCAGGTCGAAGGAGGTGATCCTGCCCCTCTACTCTGCTCTTGTGAGACCTCACCTGGAGTATTGTGTGCAGTTCTGGTGTCCTCAGCATAAAAATGACATGGAACTGTTGGAACAAGTCCAGAGGAGGGCCACGAGGATGATCAGGGGACTGGAGCACCTCTTGTATGAAGACAGGCTGAGAAAGTTGGTGCTGTTCAGCGTGGAGAAGAGAAGGCTGAGTGGGAACCTCATAGCAGCCTTCCAGTATCTGAAGGGGGCCTATAGGGATGCTGGAGAGGGACTCTTCATTAGAGACTGTAGTGACAGGACAAGGGGTAATGGGTTAAAACTCAAACAGGGGAAGTTTAGATTGGATATAAGAAGGAAATTCTTTCCTGTTAGGGTGGTGAGGCACTGGAATGGGTTGCCCAGGGAGGTTGTGAATGCTCCATCCCTGGCACTGTTCAAGGCCAGGTTGGACAGAGCCTTGGGTGATATGATTTAGCGTAAGGTGTCCCTGCCCGCGGCAGGGGGGTTGGAACTTGATGATCTTAAGGTCCTTTCCAACCCTAACAATTCTATGATTCTAAAATGTACAGTTGGCATTCTCATGAAAAGGCAAGTAACAGCTCTCCAAACTGGAAATGGAGATGCTTTCGTCTGTGGTGCGTGTATGATGTGTCTTCTTTCATCAGACAGTAATGATACTTCACATGACGATATCTGAAGCTAAAGAAAACAGTATCAGGAAAAAGAGGATGTTAATCAGATCTTTCCTAATTTATCCTAAATGTTATTCTTTTGACTTTCACAGCAATGAATTCCTTTCTTTCTTAATAAACAAAACAACATTGTAACTAAGAGGCAGACAGAATAGATTATACACATCAGATTGGAACAGAAGATCAAGGAATGATACCTGCCAGCAGAACAGTGGGTTAGGTACCTGCCCCAAGAGAGCATAATAGTGGAATAGGAGTGAGAAGCACTGGATTGTACTCACTTCCAGGGAAGTGTGGCAATGTTGGAGTGGCAGAACCAAAAGCTGCCCTAGAGAGCACCCATCCCATCCACCTGGTTGGAGTGCTCCAGAAGGGTGTCTGTCCCTCAAGTGTCTCAGCCTGACTTTCTGCAGCACATCCCCATCTATACACAGCTCAGCCTGGAACTGTCTTTTAAAGGTAGGTGCTAAATGGTCTCATTCCTTCGAATAACTGAGCAGGCTTCACTCTTTTCCTCCCTCCAGGCAGCTGGATGAGGGGAGAAGTTTTGTGTGAGATCTGCCTCCACTCCCAAATCTCTTGCTCTGTGTCAGCTCTTGGGCATCTCTTCATGAGCTGCTCTTCCTGCAGCTGAGTGTTCAGAAGTGAACCTGGGATATTAACAAGATCTACTGCATCTGATCCAAAATAAGTAAAGCTGTCCTAATGAGGGAAAATAAAAATAGACCAATGCAAATCACCAGCTGGACAAAAGAACTTGCAAACCTGTGCCCAGCTCCATTTCCCATATTATACTTGTATGCAGTGAGACAAATTTGGAAATAAGGAAATAAGAGCAGCTTCCTCCACATTCCTAAGTGGAAAATACTCCTCAGTAATCATCAATGAGACTTGGGAAACAGACCACAGCTCCCACAGTAACATGCGATGAGGAACCTTGACATATGAAAATGTCTAGATCCCAGTCAAGCTTGTCTTGGTTTTTAAGGAATTATGCAATGCCAGCGTCATGGTTTAAACCCAGTCAGCCATAAATCAGCCACGCAGTCTCTCTGTCACTCCCCCCCTTTTCTTACCCCTGCTCCTGGAGGGATGGGAAGGAGAATCAAAAGAATGGAACTCCAACAGCCTGAGATAAGAACAGTCCAGTAACTAAGGCATAACACAAACCAGTACTGCTGCCACCAATAATAATAATGATAAGGGAAATAACAAGGGAAGAGAATACAATACCACCCACTGACCGATAATACCTAGCCCGACTGAGCACCAACCGATACCTAGTCCAACCCTGCAGTGATCTAGCCCTTCCGAGTAACTCCCAGTTACATCCTGGGAATGACGTGCTGTGGTATGGAATACCTCTTTGGTCAGTTTGGGTCAGGTGTCCTGTCTCTGCTTCCTCCCAGCTTCCCCTCCTCCCTGCAGAGCATGAGACTGAGAAAGTCTTTGGTCAGACCAAACATTTGAGCAGTAACTGAAAACATCGGTGTTAGCAGTGCTGTTCCCAGGCTGAAAGTCAAAAACCAGCACTGCACCAACTAGTACGAAGGAGAAAAAATGACTGCTACTGCTGAACCCAGGACAGCCAGGTGGTGTGGGGGGAAGTACAGGATTTCGTTACTTCTTACTCGCACACCGAGTGAAAAAGCAAATGTAGCTTATCACCCATTCTGGTAGTTCATGTAGCTGCAAGCCCAATAACATCTGTCTCCCTTTTCCTTACATCATAAGAACTGGGATAGGAAGGGTTCCTTGGCTGTAAAATTATACTGGAGGCAGCAGCTGCTGAAGTGAGCTAGAAAATGACAAGCTTAGGCAGGATACAATGCATCAAAAATTGATGCTGGCTGATGGAACAGTGGGTTTAAACAGCCTGCACAGTGCCCATTACAGCCCAGTTCTGCGAGCAAGCCAGAGTGCTTCCCTTCGAAAACCTCCCAGTGTCTGTTCTGGAGAGAAGCACAGCCTGGCGTGAATTTCATACAGAGCCCAACAACTGTGCCAACTGCTCTGGAATGCACTCGGCTGTCTGATTCTGTGAACTCTTGAGTACTGAGAGGAGTTTTCATTTTAGTGCCTGATTAAGACTTGAATCTAATGGAAGCAGAAACAGAGGAGGAAGTATCTTTCATAGCATTAAAAAAATAAACATGTAATTGAGTGACTGCATACAGTCCTGAAAACAATTTAAAGCTGTATATGGACATAAATCTTTTTTCATCATTATCTACAGGAATTCATGAAAGCATAAAAAATGATGTCTTACTGTAATGGCCAACTGGCAAACCCATACATCAGTACTAGCAGGATCTTCTGCCTGCAGCTGCATCCCTCCCCCTCCATTTCCTGATGATTTTAACCACAGTACTATCACTTCTGAGCACTGAACTGATGCTTTTGAGAAGAAGTGTCAAAAGCATAATTGGAAGGGTCCCAGCAATTTCAAAGAGCACCTACTGTTCTTCACAAATCCATGCATGATTTATAAACACAGCTTAACTGTAATCTTTCTCTTGCTCCTGAGTACACTTGGCATGTGCCTCTGCTAGAATGTTTTGAACTGTGAGTTCCACTGTTTCCCTTGCACAGTTTGTTTCTTCTGCTGTTTCTGTGGGAGTCTTGCTTGAAGACAGATGAGAGAGGGATTATTTTAAATACAAAAACATTTTTGTAAAGCCACAATCACACAAGGAAAAGCAGGCAGAGAATATTTCTAGTTGCCTTTTCTGTTTGTGCTACTCAGTTCTGCAATGATGGCATTTAAAGACCTCTGCAGGAAGGCCACAGAGCCTGAGTCAAAGCCCAGACAATATCCCATGTGGACCTGCATTGAATTTTCATAGAGTCATAGAACAGTCTGGGTTGGAAGGGACCTTAAAGATCATCCAGTTCCAACCCCCTGCCACACAGAGGGATACCTTCCCCTAGACCAGGTTGCTCAAAGCCCCATCCAATCTGGCCTCGAACACTGCCAGGGATGGAGCAGCCACAACTTCCTTGGGCAGCCTGTTCCAGTGTCTCACCACCCTCACAGGGAAGAACTTCTTCCTAATGCCTAATCTGAATCTACCCTTCTGTAGTTTAAAACCATTCTTCTTTGTCCTATCACTACATGTCCTTGTAAAAATCCCTCTCCAGATTTCTTGGAGTCTCCCTTCAGATACTGGAAGCTGCTCTAAGGCCTCCCCTGAGCCTTCATGTGAACAAGCCCAACTCTCTCAGCCTGTCTTCATAGGAGAGGTGCTGCAGACCTCTGATCATCAATTTTCCTGGTATTAGACTGGCATCTGCACAATTAAATTTCTAAATTCTAGGGGAGGGTATCCTCAGAAAATGACAGCAGTGATGTCCCTCTGTGAATGTAGCTGGATATGAACCAGTCCCTCATACACTTATTGATGTCTTGTGTCAACTGTCCCACATGGGACATTTTGTGTCCATGGGCTTTTAGGTTGTAGGAGAGGAAAGGGACCCATCAACTTCTTTTATTTGACAATTTCTGTGAAAGAGGTTTTCACCTTTTTAACCATACACATGCTTCCCCTGTGCACCATCCCTGTCAGTTACCTGTCATATACCTTATGTTCCAATTTTGTGATCCATTTCACCTAAAGATAAGATTGTGCCTTAAATTCTGTATTCAGTGGGAGATTAACTTGACTTATCTAACTATGCCACTACATTGTCATTCAGGAAGAAACGCAGAGATGTGAAGCACCTTACATGTTCAAGGATTTCAAAGCTCGTCACAGAGAAGGAAGTGCTGATGGCGAAAGGCAGTGTGCTAAAAATCGTTGTCAGTTGCTGATGTGGAACTTTCATTAGCTTTTATGCAGCCTTTGACATATCCACCAATTTTATTAAGAGAATTAATGGGAGGCAGAACACTAAGATTTTGTCATCTTGTCCTTGGGGCATTCACTGTCAAAGAGACTGATGCAGTAAATGAAGGGTTCAGGCTAACAGAGAGAAGTTGGTGTGAATTTGATCTAACAGCAGCTCAGAGCAGGATACTGGAAGCTTTTTACAACAACAAAAGAAGACAACAACAGTTGGCTTTAAGACACTGAGTTTTCCTTCTTTCTTTCCTCATAAAATGGCAGCACTTCATCCAGAGACTGTCAGGTCTGTATCTGTCTCTAATTCCCACAAATAAGAGAATGCTGCTCTGTCCCCAGTCATTCATGAAATCTATTAACACTCCTTTTGATTCAGAGAATACAATGTGCTCCTCCCCACATGGGCAAAGCACAGAAGTACTGCAGGAGAGGGCTCACAGTCACTCTGCATGCACACATGTTCATTTTGCCCTGAGCACTTTAAGAGGACGTGCACGTCTGGTGTGTTAGAAGCCCCAAGACCTGCCCAGCCAGCCTGCCCAGACTCCACTTGGCCACACCACTGGGGAAGATGGAGTGCCACAAAGGCAGGTCACACTCATGGAGGTAAGTTACTCCTTAGGACAGGCTTTCTTAAGCCTCCAAGGGCAAGTTTAGCCAAAACCTTCTCAACATAACGATGATTTCAGGGCTAACCATCAGCAAAATCATCTCACTGAATGCTCCAACACCTTCAGATAGGCTGTTTGTCATATGCAGGAGTGTTTTAATGGGCATGGTGATTTGAGTCTTACTTGTCCACTTTTATTTCTTACTCCCCACTTATTCTTTGTCCTCACTGTTTTAGGGAACAGACATTGAAATGTGTTCAGAAATGCCAGTCCTCTTGCAGTTTCTCATGCTACATTTTTTTGAAGTAAAGGGAGCTAGTAGCCTCACTTCAATAGACAAATTCAGTATTTATCCTTCTGATCTGCTCTCCCAGATTTCTTACTATCAGTCCACTTCTTTTTTCGTCTGTCACAGAAGACGGTGTTCACTGCTGGCACACCAGACCCAGATATACCTCCCGTAGCATTTTGAAGATGCTAAAAATAATAGTTAATGCAAGTAGTGCTCAGAAAGTTGTAAATACCAGTTGATGCAAGTAGTGAGTAATGAGCAC